ACCCCAAAATCGAGTGACACGAAAAACAGTTCGGGAAACTTCCCAGCCGGCACGCGTTAACGGCAACCGTAGCCGGCGAACACAGCCGTCTGTTATGCGTCACGGATGTGTCTGCGAAAGTTCGCTACCTCGTCGACACTGGCGCAGAAGTTAGCGTTCTTCCAGCAAATCCCGACGACAGACTTCGCGAGTCTGTTTTAAGTTTACAGGCAGCAAACGGTTGCAGGTTATCCCCAGTCACGATTAAGCACACCATAGACACATTGTACCAAACAGTACTCGACAAATACCCCGGGATATACCAATCGCAATCGAAATTGCCTTGTGTAACCAGCAATGTTACACATCACATCTCGACTACAGGACCACCTGTATTTTCGAAAGCCCGAAGACTCGCTCCCGAAAAACTTAGGTTAGCTAAAAACGAATTCAACCACATGATGGACCTAGGAATAATTCGACCATCGAATAGTCCATGGGCATCCCCATTGCACATGGTCCCTAAAAAGGACAGCAATGATTGGCGGCCAACTGGTGATTATCGGCGTCTGAATGCTAAAACCATTCCCGATCGTTACCCGCTGCCTCATATTCACGATTTGACAGCTACCTTGAAAGGTACAACTGTCTTTTCGAAAATCGACTTGGTTAAAGCTTATAACCAAATCCCGATGACAACTGACGACATTCCTAAAACCGCCATCATCACTCCCTTCGGTCTTTACGAATTTCTACGAATGCCTTTTGGTTTAAGAAACGCGGCTCAAACCTTCCAAAGGTTTATAGACGACGTCTTCCGAGGTCTCAACTTCGTACATGCGTATGTTGATGACTGTCTAATAGCAAGTCCGGACAGAGAATCGCATCCCAAGCATCTGGACATTGTTTTCGATCGACTTCAAAGGCATGGCATTACTGTCAACATTCAGAAATGCCAAATCGGAACTAACTGCTTAGACTTCTTAGGACACACTATTGATGCCCAAGGCATCCGACCACTTAGGAGCAAAGTGGCGGCCATTCTGGATTACCCAGAACCGACCACGATCAAGCAGTTACGAACTTTTAACGGACTCGTAAGTTTCTATAGACGGTTCATACCTAAATGCGCATCCCTAATGAAACCGTTGACCGATCAGCTTCGTGGAAATGCGAAATCAATTAGTTTAGACGACACAGCCCGTAAAGCATTTTCCACAGTTAAGGAACACATCGCTAAAGCAACCTTGCTTGCTCATCAGGACAGTCAAGCGCCCATTAGTATCGCCGTAGACGCATCCGACTCAGCAATCGGAGCAGTCTTACAACAATGGGTTAACAACTCGTGGCAACCTTTAGGATTTTTCTCGAGACGGTTGCTAGACGCTGAATCTAGGTACAGCACGTTCGGTAGGGAACTCCTAGCTATGTATTGTGCTGTACGGCATTTTCAACATTCCATCGAAGGAAGAGAATTCACGCTCTTTACCGATCACAAACCTCTTACCTTCTCTTTAAGTTCATCTTCAGACAAGTACTCACCAAGAGAGTCTCGACAACTCGACTACATTTCGCAGTTTACTTCAGACATACAACATATTTCTGGAGCAAACAATGTAGTCGCAGACGCCTTGTCTCGAATTAGCTCCTTGAACAGTTTCCAAGGAATCGACCTTCTTAAACTCGCTCAGCTTCAAAAAGAAGACATTGATCTTCAGCATGAGTTATCCTCGACAACTCTTAAACTAAGTATTAGGCAGATGGGAACAGGTAAGGAAACCTTACTCTGTGACACATCTACGGGTAGGGATCGTCCAATTGTACCAAAACACTATCGCCGCAACGTCTTCAATACGTTGCACAATCTTTCTCATCCAGGTGCTCGTGCAACAATCGAACTTATAGCCGAACGCTTTTGTTGGCCTGGCATGAATAAAGACGTGAGGGAGTGGTCACGCTCCTGTGTAAGCTGTCAGAAATCTAAGGTAATCAGACACAACAAATGTCCCCTAGGTTCTTTCAAAACCCCTGACGCTCGTTTCGACCACGTCCATCTAGATTTGGTAGGACCCTTACCCGACTCGAACGGATTCTCATATCTCCTAACATGCGTAGACCGTTTTACTCGATGGCCAGAAGCAGTACCGATTAAGGACATTACTGCTGAAACAGTGGCTCGCACTTTCGTCGAACGATGGGTAGCAAATTTCGGCTGCCCTTTAACCATCACTACAGACCGCCGACGCCAGTTCGAATCTGGACTTCTCCGTTGTCTGACCACACTTTTAGGAATCACGCGCTTCCGAACGACCGCCTACCACCCACAAGCAAACGGGTTGGTAGAACGTTTTCATCGACAATTAAAAGCTTCATTATCAGCTTCAAACGTTTCACAGTGGACAGACGCTCTTCCACTCGTCTTGCTAGGTATCCGCAATGCAGTGAAAGCTGACATTGCATACACGGCATCTCAACTCGTTTACGGAACGACACTCCGACTCCCAGGAGAATTCGTGGATCCTTCAGCTTCTTCATTGAACATGGATCTAAACTCTTACACCAGTAGGCTTACAAACGCTATGCGTTCAGTTAAACCTGCTCACACTCGACCTCAATCAACTGATGTTTTCGTTCAACCCGAATTACGACATAGTACACACGTCTTCGTTCGTCGAGACTCACATCGACGACCCCTCGAATCAGCATACGAAGGACCCTTCAAAGTTCTTCAACGCGAACCTAAGTACTATGTAGTTGATAAGAACGGTACGAAAGATAGCATCAGTATCGATCGACTCAAAGCTGCGTACCTAGAAGGAAACCCTAGCTACGTCGATTTTCCTTCGGTACAAGCAAACGACACAGCTACTACACTCGTAGTACCCTACACGACAACCGACACACAACTTGATACTTCGTCAACGTCGATAGAAAAACCTAAAACAATGCGTTCTGGAAGACGAGTCAGATTTCCAGAACATCTTAACGAATATTGCACGTAGGACATAAGCTTTATCTGGAATTACCCTTTCAAAGTTTATTATAAATTTTTTTTTAATATGCTCATTTTTTATTTCTATAAAAAACCAAAAAAAAAACAAAACATTTTTATCTTTTTTTTGAACGTATATATATATATATATATATATTTATATATTGAAAAAAACCCCAAAAGTAAACCTTTTTTCCGATCGCTTTTACGCTGTTTGTAAGTGTATCAGTTTATTTTTTTTCCGCTCATCTTGTGTCCTTACGCAAGTACAAGTGTATTTTCGACATGCACTCACACGTTTTATTTTTCCTCTTTTCCAGGACGGCTGGAAAAGAACGACGAAGTTTCGCAAGGAACAGAAATTTTCATTGTACTATATTTCTTTGTTTGCTACGTTGTACATTTTGGTCCCATAGTTTAAGGAAAGACGACCAGACGCTGCTTAACGAAGCAAGCTATCAGAAGACTGTTTACCAACGACAAATTCGTTGGGTTTAAACTTCTGGCTGGTCACGTCTTAGGGGCATCACTACCTCACTAGGGGGGGAGTGATCTGTAGCTGTAAATAATTCCCCAAAATCAATAGCTCATTAAGTGTTCGACATTGGATGCTGACCACGTTGTTTAAGTGGACTTGTTTAGCTGAAGGCTTTCGGTCATGCATCCGTACCAGATCACGTTTCAATACTGCCTGGGACACAGCTCCTACGTTTCATTAGCCAGCTCATAGAAAAGGTCCTCGATATATTGGTAACGAATCAAATATATCTTTCCTGCCTATTCTCGTCCGACTTCTGATTTCTATCTGACTGGGAACAACCGAATTTAGAGGGTGCTACTGGTATCTAGTTGTAAAACTAGAATATCCGTTGCATCATCAAGTGCCTATGATTGCGATTCAACACAGGAGTGCCAAACAAATTCAACATGTCGATCACATTTCTCGACATTCATTAATACTATAGACTGTTTGTTAGTGCAAACTTTACAGGTGAGTTATCCAGATCTCATTGGGGGAAACTCGTAGATACTTTGGCTGTATAATTATTGTCACACGAGAAGGTTGGAATGCTAATCTGTAACATAGATTTCCTGTCTATTTCTCGAGGCACGATGACTTGTACAGTACTTCTGATGATATTTTGTATTGAAATGATAATGTTGTTATTTCTTCTTTACGTGAATTTGTTCTTGAAGATCTTCATTTCGAACATTAGAATAGAGAGAACAAGAATCCCTTGAGAAGATCCAGATGTTGGTGGCCGGAGATAAATACAGGTGTATGTCGTGTAGCAAACAGATGAGGAGGATTTCATAAGTGGAAAATCACACATCGAGGTGAGCTCAGTGGTTGATATCACACGAGGCCTGGCAGAGAATTCATGAAGATTACTGTGGTCTCTTTCTCAGCCACTAATAAACGCTTGTTGCCATTGATGCTTTTTCCAAGTGACCTGAACAATTTTCACAACTTCACCAAATTCTGACTTCATTATCCAAGCTCTAAGAAAAGTGTTCGGTCAAGAAGCAGTTCCTATGGAACTGGTGACTGATAGTCGCTGTCATTTTCCTATAGACACAGTTACTACCTAGCTGAGTCATATAGGGTGCAGACATCCAATCACTGTTCCCAAGTACCTTGTTCTAATGGTCAGGCAGAAAATTTCGTCAGAATACTCGAGTGTTCAAGGTGTGAGAACTAAGTTATGGACGACTGTTTTCAAACTTTCGTACAATGAACGATCAAAACTCCTGAACCTGTTTTTTTTACCCTTCTTGTTATCAAAGGCTATGCTTCCTAATATTGACAATCTAGGTTTTTACAAACTATTTGTGTGTTACATGTCTTGTCTTTCTTCTCTCTCCAAAACTAATATTTTCCAAGGCCATAGGCTCAAAAACCAAGTGATATCACTGATGGATTTATTTTTTCCAGGAAAGGCCGGATCTTCATTAGAAAAAAGTTGCCAAGATTTATTGGGGTGACCGACCTACAATAACTGATAACTGAACTAGGTCATTATTGAAGTGGCGGTGTATGTGCCTTGTGCGTTACTATCTTCTAGGGTTATTGATATTTGTGTCTACCTTCTATTTACCGGTATATTTTGTGTAACCTTTTTATGGTTAAATTGTTTTGGAATTCGCTTGTACTCACTGTCAATTTTAAAACAACTGAATGAATTTTGTTAATGCTCAAACTACATACGTGTGTGTTACCATTGTATAGCGTTAACAGATGGCTTAAATCAAGAGCTTTTTCTAGGGCGCCTCAGCGATGAGATTGATGAGGCTACTATAAAAAAATTGAACCCTGGAGATATTTTCTTGTATAATTTTGAAGTTCAGGTAGCTAATTTGTTGTCCCCAACTTTAAAGTTGGGGATAAGAAGTTTAATATGAAACCTCACGTATAAAAATATAGTTATCGTACTTGAAGATACAACCAAGTGAATGTGATTGACATGTAGAGGGCTGGTTCCCAAATATCCGGATCATAGGGAGATCTTGGGGTTTCCCCTCAAGTCGTGAAAATTCGTAGTTTTCCACAATGTATAGGGAAATGTTGGAAAAAACCCGAAATTCTCCTAAAATTCTTGAGATTTTCCACCGAAACCTAAAATCTCGGTGTTGTCATCGCATTTCTTTCAAAATTCCTCAAAACTGATAAAATTTTCTCTAAAATCGGGAAATTAGGTTGTGTCTTATTTTACAATGGTGTACGGTGTTCGGATGAGAAAGTTTATGTATTCACAAAATGTGAAGTCAGTTGCAACGAATTTTATTCGAAAAATTGAATGTATTGAAAGCAATATGTGAAATTGTGGCCAATATCCACTGTCTTTGTAATGAACCTGTACTAACCTTTTGATTTATTTGGGCTGTTTTGATGTTTGTGTACGGCTCCAGGCTTTTGGTAACGTCCAGTGGCGGTAATCTAGCCTTATAAGTGCACTAATGTGTGTCACTTCCAATCCTGACTGATCACGAAACGTATTTTAATACAACTAAAAGGTGATTACTTCCAAATTGTTTTTCTTTTTTACGTACAGTGACCCAAAATATCATAATTTCAACGTTTATTCAATGTAGATATTCATTGCAATTTGATTTTACATATCTTGATTTTAGATTGTCGATATCCCGTTGTTAGCTCACTTATTTCAGTCTGTTATTGGTTGGGAGTTATCGCACCGATAATCAATATGACAGTTGTTCGACGAGACAATTTAAGTGACTGTACGCTGAAAGAAAAGCTGGACTTCTACTATCGTGTTGGTATGTAACTTTCTCATTTAGGTTTCGTGATAGTCAATTTAGTTGAGTCCGTGGTATATCAGTTTAGACTTCCGTTTATGCTAGTTTTTTTAGTCCAGCCCCACTTTATATACTTCACTTTGTACTGGTGGGTAATGTTATTAGTTATCACTGTTAGTATGATTTGTTAATGTAATATTTAATATTAAAAGTGATACAGCTAACCAGAAGGATGGGCCTTTTATAACAAAATAACGTAAGTATATAAGAACCATTAACAGGAGAACAACACGAATAAGTGTTAAGAATGATCAAATATCTTTTTTGTAAGCTGCTCACTATTCAATAAATTAAGTTTTAGCTGTTAAACCTGATTTTATCCCATCACATCATTTGTGTCTTACAGACTCGGGTTTTACGGTTTCTACTTTGCACACCTGTATGTATTTTTTTGTATTTATGCAAGCCGTTCAAATGAACTGCACTAGTTTTTGTTTGAATAGGTGTTTTAATGTAAATAGAGGCAATTTACACCACTTATTTTTTAAAATTAGATACATATTCGTTCTTATACACCAAATTTTGTGAATTAAATGAGATTTCTATTGTAGTGTGCTTATATCTAACATAATAGATACCGACGTACTGATAATGGTATGGGGTTATTTACCTCTAACAATATATGTTCGGAACTGCTTTTTATGTGCTTGCTTGTCTTTTACCTTTAGTCATTTTCGCTGCAACTGGTTATATGCTGTAGTGAAAGTCGTTCTTTTACACATCAGTATAGCGAGACCAAATTAACATAATCAGTACTAAAGTAGTAGAATTAGTTGTGTCAATGTTGGTAAAAAGGATCAGGGATACAAAATATAATCCGAGAAAAAATTCGAAAATTACAAGATGTGAAGTGATAGTAAAACTTAGAATGTAATGGAGAGCAGAGTAAATGAATCCACACAATTAAAATTGATTTTAAGCCATATTGCTCCATGCATTTTAAAAATTATTCGCAATAATCGAGCAAACATCAATCAAGTATTATGGACCCACCATCTTGACTCAATATGTCAGTCAATGATTTTGCGGACAGATAACTAGTTTTAGTTTGGCTGCTTATGATCTTCTTCCTACACCAACCAACACTGCTCGTCGAAATACAGGGCGGTTGGACATTTGTAACAAATATCTCAGCTACCTCCGTTGAAGCTTCACAATCTTATAAATCGATTCAGTATCTTTGCTTACTACCTTAGACTTAACCTCGAAATTATTTATTTAATGGTTCCAACATATCTGATCAATGTTTTGAAGACACTTATAACCAAATAATAATAATAACCTATGAACGTCATGTACATCTAAAGAACGCGTTCCACAGTCATACAGTAAAACAGAATAAACCACTACGTAGCGGACATATCGTGTACGGTGCAAGTGACAGGAATCGGCGTAAAACTAGTCGAATTTTCCATATTTTAAACAAAAGTAGTTGTTTTAAGTGCCTCAGAAATTCAACTATTTTCCGTTTGTCGCAGCATTTATTAGGAGATTCTCCCATAACTTTCAAAGAGGTGTTCATTTATTTTCATCCACTTTTAATTTTCTTTATTAATTACACATCTCAAACAGAATTTTGTTCATTATCTCTTACTGCGAAAGGTTTCAAATGTTGACTCTAGAATGTTGTAATCCCATGGTAGTTTAAAAGTTGTTTTATATAATATTCGAGGTTTATTTTAGCCACAAATTTATTGAATATTTTCTCATTTCTTTTTCTGTTGGTAGTAAAAAATCAAATCCTCCGCTTTCAACATCCTATCAGTGGATTATTTCCTCTTATGCCTATGAACACTAAATGTAGATATAGTCATGTACGAGATTCTGTGTACTGTGCCACAGTTGTATGGGCTCTGCACCAGTGTTTTGCGTGAGTGAAGTTTTAACAAAATCTACTTTGGAAACATTTTATAACAAAATACTTAATTTTCAAGTAAAACATTTGATCAAAATACTTTGAAATACTTAATTATTTTTATATAAATCTCCTGGAATTTAGATATTTGTCGTGTTTATTTAGAACAATACAGTCAGATTTACTTTCAGCGTTTTGCATTTGATGTATAATATATTGAGAATTTAGCAATACTACGAAAAACTACATTAATGTTTGACCATCAGCATTACCTGTTTTCGGATTTTACCTATCATGCCAAATTTAGTTGGATTTAATTAAGTTGCTTCACTTGTTACATGTCAGTCAGTCAGTCAGCTACAACGTAGGACCAGGCACATATATGCATCGGTCCAAGTTGCCATACCTCGTTAGCACAACAAGATCAACACTGGATTCATAGAAGTAATTAATTTAGTGGTAATATTAGTATATAAATTATAGGTTGTATATAAGGATATAGTACAGGAAGGAAGAGAGATATGAAGCAATTTTAGTCTCAAGGTTTAAGGGAAGATAAAGAGTGCATACACCTACGCCATTGTGATCGATTCTGAGCCATGTCACCTAGAGTCTCCAACCATTGGTTACGATAGTCACGCGGACCCCAACCACGTAGTCTGCATCTGCCAACATGGCTCACACTAGAAGTTAGTCACTTCAAGCACTGATGCCACGTTTTGGTTTGGCCTCCCCTAACCTTCTTCCAACCATCCCCTACACTAGTCGGCATAGCGCGTCGTGGTAATCGGTGTTCAGGCATACGTAACACATGGCCCAACCATCTCAGTCGATGAATATTCATCACCTCATCAACTGATTTACCATCATTTCCTAATACCCTGTGTCCAACCTCACTATTACTTACCCGGTGATCCCAGCAGATGCGAGCAATATTTCTAAGGCATCTGTGGTCAAATACTAGTAGCCTACGAGTATCTTCTACTCTTAATGGCCATGTTTCGCAGCCGTAAAGTAGAACAGAGCGAACTGATGCGCTGTATACTCGTCCCTTAATTGATAGACGGATATCTCGTCTTCGCCATAGGTGACGTAAGTTGGCAAAAGCCAAACGAGCCTTCTGAATCCGTGCTGAGATTTCGTCAGACACCAACCCATTAGGACTGATCAGACTTCCAAGATAAGTGAAGTTGTCGACGCGTTCGACTACTTCACTCCCTATCCTTAGTTCAGGTGTTGACGCAGGCCAGTCCTGGAGTAACAATTTACATTTGGATGGGGAGAAACGCATCCCAAACATCCTGGCATTATTACTGAGTTCCAACAGAAAACTCTGTATTTTGCCAGCGTCTTCACAAAACAGGACTATGTTATCTGCGTATTCTAAGTCGCTTAGTGGTCCCCCTGGTAGGAGATCAATTCCTGTAGATTCAGTCGAAGAGAGTGTTATTTCCAGCAACAGGTCTATAATGAAGTTAAACAAAAATGGGGATAGTGGACAGGCTTGACGGACACCACTTGAGGTTGTAAAATCATATGACAGTTCGCCATAAGCTCTCACTCGACTAATAGTGTTCGAGTAAAGAGCCTTCAAAAGGTTTATGTACTTCTCAGGTACACCTTTCAATGACAGACACTGCCACAGAACCTCTCGGTCTACAGAGTCAAATGCTGCTTTCAAGTCAAGAAAAAACTATCATTGTCGGACGCCGATAAGCGTGTCTGTGCTCTAAAACTTGACAAATGGTGAATATGGGGTCGATACAGCCACGACCAGGTCTGAAGCCAGCCTGATTTTCTCGTGTTTGCAGTTCACGAGTCTTAGTTAGGCGCCCGATAATTATTGAGGCTAGTATTTTAGATGCTATGTTAGTCAGACTAATCCCTCTATGATTATCGCAGGATGATTTGGACCCCTTATATATTGGGACGATAAGTGATTGTGACCAGTCGGATGGGATTACGTCCAACTCCCAGATTTTAGTCAGGATATTAGTCAACCTAGTCGCTAAAATTGGGCCACCATATTTAAAAACCTCTGGAGCCAATCCATCTGGACCAGCTGCTCTTCCTCGTTTCAGATTAGTTATAGCCTTCTGAACTTCAGGTAGGGTCGGGGGGCCTACTACAATGTTCCATTCATTCTGTCTGGGAATAGTGGGTAGTTGTGCAGTAGCTGAAGGCCAGCTGAACTGCTCCTTAAATTGTTCTGCCCATCGTTCTAAACGTCCGGGCTGAGAGCAGATAAGGGTTCCGTCTTTTTCCGGGATTGTCTCACTTACACCTGACTTCTTAATTCCGGTTTCTTTTATTAGTCTGAAGAGTTGCCTGGTGTTACCTACAGCCACTGCCTTTTCCATCTCTTTTGCTTTCGTTGCCCACCACTGCTCACGATCGTTCCTTAGACTTTTAGTCAACCTACATTTGATTTGTTTACGCTCTTCGTCGTGTTCAGAGCCTGATGGGATGAGTTTACGCGAATCCAGCAGTGAAATAGACTTAGAAGAAATCCACTGGTTTTTTGAGCCCTATGGTTTAAATGATTAATAGATGTTACTGCTGTTTCCACAGCTGTTCGTATGTCTTTCCATGCAGCATCTGGGTGATTCTTGTTTACAGAACTGCCTAGATGTGAACTCAGTTGTTTCTGGAATTCGCATTTGGCTTTCTCGTCCTCCAGTTCAATCCTAATGGGTCTTCTTAGTGTACTTTTCCTGCGTCCATTGAGGCGCAGACAAATGCGCGCTCGTATTAAAGCGTGATCAGAGTCTAAACAAGTATTCCAATACGAGCGACAATCTTCTATCGAGCCTCTCCAACGATGGCTGGTGGCAATATGGTCTATTTGAGTCCATCGTTGGTTTGGTGCAGGTGGTCGCCATGTTAGGCGATGTCTCTCCTTATGTTTAAAATTAGTGCTTGCCAAAAATAAACGATTGTCTGAGCATAGTTGCAACAGACGATCACCATTATCGGTTCGTTGAACCGGAATACTAAAACACCCACCTAAATGTCTTTCTGTTTGATTTAAGCTGCCTACCTGGGCATTAAAGTCACCCGCTACGACTACTATGTCTGAGCACTTAGCTTTCTGAAGAAGCTCAGAGAGTTTTCTGTAAAAGTCATCTTTCACTTCATCATGGCTGCAGTCAGTGGGAGCGTGGGCAGAAACGACGACAAGGCAACGACGTGTGTCCCTATCCTTCCGAGTTCTTACGGAGCCATTTAGCCGGACAGCACACAGGCGAATGTTAACGGGGATCCATTCTAGTAGTGCCTGTTCTGCCCTTGTACTTAGTGCTATGCCTACACCTGCAAGTCCGCGAGAACTAGCCAACGGGTCGCCAGATACACGGAGGGTGTATTTCGTTGGCTGTGCATTTTGTCGAGGTGAGGTCAAGTGAATGACCAGACTGGGATCCTGTATGCGTGTTTCGGAGACACAGCATACATCAATGGTACGAGATTCTAGGGTTTTAGCTAAAGAGGCCTGTTGACCGATTTGGCATAGGGTACGTACGTTGAAGGCTCCAATGTGTAGTTTGGAGCGAGGTTTTAGTAGACCTGGGACAGCGTTTCGCGCACTAGAATCGTTGGCCATGGTGACACTTGAGGAGGAAACCGAGAGAGGAAGTTTAGTGTTGAAAGTCAATGTAGAAGGAATAGTATTAATTGAAGAAGGAGATTGATTATGAATGCAGTGGTCTTGAGTGCCGTTAGAGGTATGAGGGCAGTTATCACTTCCCGGTTGCCCACACCGTGGAAGGGTTCTTCTAGAGGTACCTGAAAAGGAAATTGGGTTAGAAGTGGTCTTAATGACCTGATGGCGTGACCGCAGTGCCCAAGGGACAACTGCTTGAGGTCGGTCACACACGACCTTTTTGTGGGTAGTTTTTGTGTTATCTCCGTTCTTTTAAAGGACCTTACCGCCGGAGACGGAAGTTCGTGGGATAAGGCGAGGTGTGCATTTTTAGGGTCGATCTTTTCTAACCCCACCCCTCCTTGTGGGAAGGCAGCATCGCTGTCATGCTGGTTGTCTGAAGGAAACACCTTACTGCTGTCACACCTCTGTACAGTCAGCAGTACGACTTCACCTTTGGACCTTGGGTTTGCTGCTTTTAGTCTCACCGCTCTTCAACCGACCTGTCTGGTATGGTAGGACCTCGAGGAGCGATTGTTCCAGCCAGCATAGCTCGATTGGATCATCACGATAGGCAAGCCCTACCACCACGTCAAGGTAGCAGCAACGGTCGGGTTACTCGTAAAAAACATCATTATTGTATGTAGAAAGGTCGAAATTCAGAAAGTGGTTTATATAGGGTAGTCTAGTAAGTGATGTTACTATCATTTATTTTCAAACCTACAGTCACCCTACTTTAAAAAGTCTGTTTTATCAACATGAATCGTCCACTTCGCAAATTCTTTTCTCTTCGAGTCGATTCAAATGATAAACGTATTCAATGGTCATAACTTCCATTCATTTTTAAAGGTATTTTTTACAAGTTTTAATTGTTCTTAAAACTACTAAGATTTGGTTAGTAGTTTTTTTTTTCATAATCTCTTCAATAATTTCCGGATTAAATGAATATTTAAGAAATAGACCTGTTAAGCTTCGTTTTTTTGATGTCTACTTTAATAGATTACTGATAATTTTCCAATATACTGTAATAATGATAATCTATTTTATCATAGACGAATCAACGATGATGAAGGACGTCATTATGAACTTGGTCAAAGTGCTGTCAAGTGTATGCGTAGCATTTTAATGGGTTGGATGCAACAATCTGCGCGGGTATGTATCATTATCATCACTATTATCATTATTGATTACGATTTATTTAATTTTTAATGTTCAAGTTTTCGTTTTTAAATGTTTTTTGTTCTAATGTGATTTATTTAAAAGAAAGTGATAGTATGCTGTGTTAATGTGAGGAAGATGATTCAATTGTTTTACGGAGTTTCCTTATAATAACTTCTAGAAACAATAAAATTAGTAATTAGCTAATATTACTAATTAATTTTTCAAGAGAAAACGCAAAATAGTCAGTGATAACCAATGTAAAACCTGCTACTAATATGTGTTAGCCCAAATTATCTTATCATACTAACACGAGATGAAATCAACGTAATGAATGGAAAATGGTTTGAAATAATGTCGTGGAAATTGTAATGAAAATGACCAGATATTGAAGATATAGTGGTGAATACATCTGCACTATTGTGACCGATTCTGACCCATGTCACTCAGCGTCTCCAATTAGCACAAACTGTTTTGATTAAAAGATAGATATTCTTAGAGTTTTGTTAAATCACTTTTCGACTAATCGTAAGGAAAAATGGATTCTTTTATGTGGAATTTTTAAATAAGGTTCTCAAGTAGTTTAAACTTAACAAAGTCATTTGAATATATTACCTTCTTGATTTTCTCCGTAATCCCTACTTTAAAATTCAAAATATAATGACTCTGAAATATGATCTCATTCAATTTGTTATTTGCAGTTGGAATACTTTAAAAGAGTTCAAAACTTGGATACTTGTCTGCACTCACGTCTTGATTATGAAACTGGTGAACCTATTCATGATGATCATTATAAGAACTTACAAATGGACTGTATTGGTCTGTATGTAATTCAGCTGGTTCAAATGATTCATTCTGGACTTCAGGTTTGTTGATTTTGATAAGAAAATATGGTCTTTATGCTCGAATTATTATGTAGGCTGATTCAGTCAAATGATGACCTCGTGAAGGTGTGGTGTCATTCATTATACCCTAAATTCTATTCATCACAGGAGGTGAAATAGTAATTATTAACCACCAACCAACTAACTACATAAATAAGGAGTGAATAAATTTATGCGATAACTAACATTTTTCTGATACATCACTGACTTTCTCCACTAAATAAACATGTTTTAATCTGGAAAACTTGCAGGTTTTTTCAGTATTTTTATTCGATGAGGCTGTGTTGTTTGGATACCCTGGATTAACCAACTGATGGTTATTGAGAAATTTCTTCTCAAAAAAATGTAAACTTGAATTTCCAAAACATGGGCTACGTTAGTGCTGACCTTGGAGGATACCCTAATTTTGTCCGTACACAAAGTAATGTTTATATAGTGAACAACTTGTCAGATTTTTCAACAGATATCAATGAACACTGATTGTAAACATGTATATTCATTGCAACATACTCAACCTAAATCCTGTTCCTGTTAGCCATGACAGATGTAAATGTAAAATTACCCATGTGTCAAAGGTTTTGGAAAATTCAGCATGTTGATATTTTATAGAGGTTCCTAAAGGACGCTTACATCTTTTTATACATTGTCAGTCGTAGATGCTTAGAGTGGACGGGAATTCAAGTAACCGACTTCACACCATATTTTACTTAGATTTCCTCTAATAACATTCTTTACGTTTTATGTTCCTGTGATACTGCATAGTTCACATTAATAATTACATTTAAGATTTTTGCTAAGCATAAACATAAACAAGATCGTAGTCGAAGAATAGGTCGTTTATCCACTGTCTGGCAAATATGATCACGGGATCTGAATTCATTTCATTCAAGAAGTTCCTCATACTAAATTTTCATAGTTAGTTTATAACTTCTACTTTCTCTGAGTCAAGATTTTCATGAGCAGAGTTCCTAATCCTAGTCTTGACATTATCTTTACTGCAGCTTCATTGACTGTTGTCTGTACCTTTATCCACGAAAATTGAAACTTAGATGGCAATACGAGTGTATGACATCATGTTCAATTTATTCACTTTAAATGTTCCTTTCAGATTGTTTACACGAAAGACGAAGTAGCATTTGTTCAAAATCTTGTGTTCTATTTGGAAAGAGCCTACCGTATCCCAGATTATGGGATGTGGGAACGTGGAACAAAGCAAAATCGTAATATGACTGAATTACATGCTAGGTAAGTGTTTATATATATATATATATATATATATATATATATATATTCTTAAAGTGAATTATTTATGTATTTTTAAAAATAATGAGAGAATGTTGCATTAGTTGACTTATATGGCGACCTAAATTGGTGGCTTGTTTTACAGAGTATTTTGTCTCTCATCAATAATTTGTCCATTCCAGCAAAAACATCCTTGGTAGTGAAGTATTTCAGTATGATGACTTATAGCTCTTGTCCCCAGCATTTTAATCAGAAAGTTCATATTATTCCACATATGTCAAAATAGCAATTTGTGTTTGTTATATCTTAACATCGACCAATACGTATAGACGACCTTAAGCAACCAATATGCGATAAGGAGAAGAATAATAACCTATGGTTGACGGTTAGCCCAATAATAACTAGCCCTGAACGAAGAGGAAGAACACAGAAACAATGATCATGAGTCCAAAATAATTATTATATTCCGGACGTTCATTTATATATATATATATATATATATATATATATATATATATATATATATGAGTCCATAAATTATTTCTGGAAGTTACCATCCCTTTAGTTTTCGTTCGGATATAATAGTGTTGTATAAAGTTAAAATAATATGTTGGTCCGATCATCCTGATACATTTTTCTTCTTCCAATCAGAAGTGCACTCTGACTTGGAGAATAGTTGAACAAGTGTTGCATTTACTTCATTCATTTCAGTCGATCCAAATTTGCGACAAGATCAAATGAACATTTATACATTCTAAAAAGTAGATTCAACTTTAGTACATTATCCAGACACTTTAAATCACATGATAGCAGATGCTAATAGAGTTTTCATCATTTTTACCCTGCTAGAGTAAATAAAAATCCTATGTAAGTGAACATAGCTTGGTCTTAAATAATCGTTTTCTAACTGAAAGTTCATATAGTGAATCTGATTTTTTCATTGGCTTTTTCAAACGATAACTTTGTTAATATTTTCATAGAATATATTGTCGAGTGTAAATGATTGGCAAACTATGGTTAACAAACAATTTGAAGTGAAATATAGTATACCTAATTATGTTTTATGTTACTTATGGGACGCATTATGATGCAATGGATATTTTGTAAATTGTTGATAATATTCTTGTTTTTTCATCTGTATAAAATTGTGTTTCATCTGGATTATGCTTTATTTATTATGTAATAAATTGTGGATGAACTATGTAATATTCTTGATTTTGAAATTGTTATAATATTATTTTCTAATTAGCTCTATTTGTATGGCGAAAGCTGCATTGGAATCGGTTGCTGGATTCAATATTTATGGTTATGAAGGCGGACATTCTTCTATCCTTTTTATGGATGCTGATGCCCACAGTCGTAATAGAATAATTATGACAAATTTGTTACCTAGAGAATCTGCATCAAAGGTAAATTATGTTCCTTTTGCTAGTGTGATTTCATACTCAATATCATAAGTTATGAAAAGGAAGTCGAATTAAAATATTTCGAGTTAGGAATAATGTCACTTCCTTTAATTGGTTCTTATCAACTACATAGGATTTTAAATGTCTCTTCTTGATGGTCTGGGATTTTCAAATTTTCAGTTTCATTTGGAATCTGTGAACCATATCGTGTAATATAACCATTAAGGAAAATGACATAGATCTTAGTTTGGCGTATTTATTGTTGAACACTAATTGAAGATCGAAACCTATCACTTCTCAGGCCGTACAATACTGAACGAAGAATACCTAAATTTCAGGTAGAGGGAAAAAGGAATTTGAATTTCTTTGAAATTTCAGGGACATCTATCTGATGAGTACTGATGGCTATAAAAATTAGCCATAAGTGTTATGCTCCATAATCTGAAGCTAATCAGCACCTTAACTAACATCCCTAAAGGGAAGTAAAACAGACTGTATGAAACTAAAATAAGGGCATACACTGCTTCATACATATGCATTATGATGGTTCGATTGGCTGACGAAATACTAGAATGATTGAGATGGTCAAACTAATAAGCTACCCATTTGACCTTTTCCTACACATCAGGAGAGAAGGAAACCACTGGTTCGCTGGTTGAATAAATATTAGCGAAATAAATCGGACATTTATTTATCAGAAGGGGTTTTGTGGAGATTTAGTATTTATCATAGTTGAAAGCGTGAGTCAATTGAAGCTAGACCACCATGGAAAACCTGGAAACACTGGACGGCCGTTTCGTCCTATTATTGGACTCCTCAGCAGTGCGCATCCACGAACCCGCTCCCGCGAGATTCGAACCCAGGACCTATCAGTCTCGAGCCGAAGCTCTTAACCGATAGACCACTGAGCTGGAATCCAACGGTGTTATGTCTAACTTCAACTGATCCACGAAGTTGAGCAACCATTCACCAATTGTCTTCAGTGAGTTCCTATCTCACAACAGACTTGGTTTTGAACTCCACTGGTCACTGCTTCTCACTAGAGCTCCTAGATATAATTCTCAAAGAGCGGGTTCGTGGATGCGCACTGCTGAGGAGTCCAATAATAGGACGAAACGGCCGTCCAGTGTTTCCAGGTTTTCCATGGTGGTCTAGCTTCAATTGACTCACGCTTTCAACTATGATAAATACTAAATCTCCACAAAACCCCTTGTGATAATTAATATAATCATATGCTCACTAATGACTTCGAGAAGTATATCTAGGAGCTCTAGTGAGAAGCAGTGACCAGTGGAGTTCAAAACCACGTCTGTTGTGAGATAGGAACTCACTGAAGACAATTGGTGAATGGTTGCTCAACTTCGTGGATCAGTTGAAGTTAGACATTAACACCGTTGGATTCCAGCTCAGTGGTCTATCGGTTAAGGGCTCCGGCTCGAGACTGGTAGGTCCTGGGTTCGAATCTCGCGGGAGCGGGTTCGTGGATGCGCACTGCTGAGGAGTCTCGTAATGGGACGAAACGGCCGTCCAGTGTTTCCAGGACATATTTGCCAAATATAAAGCTAACATGTTTTGACTAAGCTGTTGATCAGATAAATAATTAACCAATAATGAAAATAATGATCACAAAAGAAGCGGTTACACTTTAATTTTATACCTCATGCCAGTTCGTTGTTATTCTTTTTGTAACTGTTGTGTTTCATACTTTAGGGTACTGATGCTTCACTTATTCCTGCGCTATGTTGGCCAGCTTATGGTACATGTTCAACTAGTACACGATTGCCAGCTCTGGAACGCTGTGTAGAACGTCTAAAAGGTGTTTACGGCTTCAAACGGTTTACTCGAGATGGTTATGCTACTGTTTTAGATACAGATAGCGAATATCAACCGGGAGAATTGATGGTATGTTGTAGTTAGTTATATCTTGGTCATTTTGATGTGTGGGCGAGAATGATAACGATTGGTTGTTTTGCTTAGTCAGACATGTAGATAGTGTGACATGTGTTAGATGTGTTGTATATTCCTCTATCCTTATTGCTTATTATTATTATTGATTAATTATTTTTTATTGCTGGATTGTGCCGGATTTGGGTGTGGAGAATGTATTTACATTCTAGTCAGGCTAATCACGTGTTCTTGATCTGAGTTGTGTTGAAGTCCTGTAGAATAGACCCTGGGAGGGAATCTAGTGTAGATATTCGTCTAAGGTAAATTACCGTCCCACATACGTGTAAAAAGTAAACTGACCGTTATAACACATTTGTTCTCTGGTAATCAGTGAATTATAAATGTTTTGTTTGTTTTCGTCCAATAAACGTGCTAGTTTACGACTTTTTATGTAGTCGACTGAAGTTTGGTATACAGAGCAATCGATTTAGACTCGCTGGTACAATTCTATCTTCTTCATCTTAGTCCCGAGATTTTGGTTTCAACTTCTTTTGAGGTCGTTGGTAGGCTTGGCTAAAGAGGTCCAGATTAGAGCGAAACATTTTCTTCTAGTGCTTTTATGTTTTCAATAGTGCTATGTTTTGGTTTGTGGGTGAGTGGAAGTAGTTAACAGGAAATTCTTGTCCTGGGTTTCGTGCTTATTGGCACTCGTCAGCAGGGCAAGTGTTTTATCTTTTTGTTTTCGGTAATTTATTAAAATCTATAAACTCGTGTAAAATATGCAGTGAGAATATATAATAAAGTGTAAAATACAGTTGTTCATAACTTGTCTATTCTCATTTTTGTTAATCTTGGGTTATTAGTAAAAAGTTAGTTAATGAGACTGAAGACTCACTTATAGATCTTACTTATTCTAGTTGTCAGTCTTAACTGCAATTGTGTTCGAAAACGGAGAACTAGTATCTGAATACCTACTTACTTACTTACACTTGTTACTCCTCGTGGAGCATAGGCTGCCAACCAGCACTCTACATCCAACCCTGTCCTGGGCAATCCTTCCCGGTTCTTTCCAGTTGCTATTCATCCTTATCATATCTGCTTCCCATTTTCGATGTAGTGTGTTCTTCGGCCTTCCTCTTCAGGATTCCAAGTTAGCGTTTGCCTCGTGGGTATCTGGTTGCTTATATCAAATTAGTTTGAAATGGTTTAGATTCATTGATGTACATTGTTCTTGAGGAATGTTCTGGCTGATTATTAAAGTTTAATAATTACTTAAGTTTATGTGAATAAATGATACTTTTTTCATCATTTTAAATAGCTTAATTGTTTTTGTTATCTGTCTGTAGAAATTTGTTGGAATCGAGAGTGAATGGCCAATGTTTTTCGCGTACATGATTATCGAAAGTAAGTTCAATGTCAACCACTTTACTTTCAACTACATAAAATTGTATTTATGATTCAGATAAAGCGTAGAGTAATCTTGAGACTTATCCTCTCATATCTATTGACTGTTTACTATCTTCAATTTTTTTATCAACTGTAACTTAATAACCAAAGTACACATTTGCATATTCAGTTTTGAGTCATACTTTTGTGTGTAAAGAGGTCAGTAATACTACCCTACTGTCCAAATTGATATGGATGGAGATTGTGGCCTGATGGCTGAATGTTTAGTGCTTTTTAACTCTTAATCTACAGCTCCACATTCTGGATACATATGAAAGTAATTTTATGAATATACTTCTATATTCACTGATTGTGAATCTTTTAACGCAGTATGCAGACTATATAAATTAATGGTCGAAACCGTATAAAACTTTCTCATTCATTCCTAAAGCTATCAGAACATTAAAAAGTCAACCAGCTACCTTATATTATTTTCATTAAAATCATGAACCGATCAACTTTAGAACACCATTGAAATCCTAGACTCACTGGACGACCTAATATGGGATTCCTTGGCAGTTAACACCCACGATCCCGTGCACTGGAGTGGAACCCAAGACCGTCGGTCTTGCGCGCGAACGCTTAGCCCTTAGACCACTGATCCGGCATTCAACGGTGTTAATGTCTAACTTTAACCAATCCACGATATTGCGCGACCTATTTAATATAACCTTTATTAATAAGACTTTAAAACTCATATAATTATATACGTGATGATTTGATTATCATATTAATCATTCAATTATTTGAATACGTTTCGACATCGGAATATTTAAATGATTGATAATTTTGTTGTTTGTTTGTTTCAAATTCCAGTCCACCTTGGCGATCATATATGCAATGTCAAGCATATGGATGAGAGGCTATAGTTTTTTAATCTTCATAGACTCTATTCTAACGCTCTCAATTCAGCTATTATAATTTTTTAAATAGTCTATCTTATATTAGTACACTCGTATAGATTTGGATAATTTTTTTCTTAATGGTTTAATTGCAAATGTTAAAATTCACCGCTTTGAACGTTCTAGTCAAAAAATGATTATGTTAACCGGTATAGTGAGCCAATCAGAAGTGACCTAACGTGAAGGTCACTCGAACATCGTCAAAAATGACCTAAAGGACAAATGGGTATCGCTGACGAGAAATGGATTCCTTTTCCAAGGGGTAGAAGTGTATATGTTTTAATGAGTATTTGTGCATATTATTTGGTAACTCAATGGGCTTTCTTTCCCACCCTTGTCTTCTTCCTCAAGTAGTCAGTTTGGTGGTGGTCGTTGGTTTAGCGCATAGCATATTATGTATCAATATCAGATCTCGGACATTGCCTATCAAACATTAACAGCATCACAGTCACTCTTCCAGTTTCATTGTATCTAAATCATATTTTATTACATTTTAAGTATTAAAGAATGGTTAATAGTTGGGGATCAGTTTTATACTACATTGTATTTCGTCAATGCATACATAAACGTTATGAAAAACTACACATCCACTTACCACTATAAAATCATCAGTAATGATTTGCGTAAATACTTACATTTTCAATAGTTTCCAGTTATATTGATAACTACTGTCAACATTTTTTTCATTTCCATTTTCACCAAACATTATTGGTTTTCATTCATATACTTTTCTAATTCTGACTAGATTGTTTAAATGGTGATCGAGAGAAAGCATTAGAATATGATCAATTAATGCAACCACTTCTTGTTCATCCTATATCGGAATCATGTAAGTAGTTAGTTAGTTCGATGAATGTAAATGTTAAAATGTTAAAAATTAACTTCTGGAATTATGACATCAATGAAGATCTGAATTGGAATTTCTCAATAAATTTGATAAAATATTCAGTATTACTGATATAACTAATGGCGTCGATCTTTAACGTTCAACTCAAGCTTTTGTATGAGGAGTTAGAACCGTGGAACATCTGACAAAGTATATGAATGTAATGTTAACAAACTGAAGTTTACAATCATTTACAAAATATGAAATACAAATAGTATGATTTATAAGGGATCAGTTAATAAATGAATAGTCAATGATAGCAATGAAAGTTATAAACTATCAGGTAATTATTCACGAAAACATGTAGCAAAATGTTTTAACTATTGAACAATGCATCAAAAGTAGCTTTAGTTAGATTTCAGTGTAAACGTATATGTGTCCAATTTGCATGAATTGCATTTCCGTTACTTCGAGCATCTTATACTCAAGTAATGAATGAGCATTAAATTCGCAACTTATTCACTAAGTTTAAGAAATGTTTATTCGAAATTCCGAAATTATTCTCTTTCAGGAGTGTAATTGATAATTTCACGAAAAGACTACATATATTATTGTACATCGTGTGTAAGAATATATTACTTTCTGTCTTTCATATCTTTGTACAAAACTATTATTCAAATCTGTTTTATGAAGCAATGGATGCTAAATAATGACGCAGATCCATAGTCTTTGTGAGGATATTTTATGTGGAACCTGTTTGTCCGGTAATCGCGTTGGTGCTAACTCAATACATTAGGCACACATATCTCCGATTTTATGTGTATCTTTATTGTTGATCCTGACTGAGCTTGCTCTACAGACGTCAACGGTACTAATACGTCATTAAGTTATTTTTATTCAGTTAGTCATAGATGACTGGTAGAATTTGTCAGTTTTATATTCTCATAAATCTATGCAATTTAAAGGGACATTTCCTATAGTGTTTTGATGTCCCTCGTTTTACAGAAATGATTTACAAGATTAATCAGTAGAAATTTGTTTTGATGTAGCTTGACTGTTGTATATTTTTGAATTCAAGCTGAATAAGCTGTACTGTCCAGAAACTACAAGTTCAGGATAGGTTACCCACAATGTGTTTTCCAATTTGTGTATATCAATATAACTACTGTTTAGCTAGTTACAAGGTCTGTAATCAAGAGACTTTATCCTTACGCTCTTGTTAACCAAGTCTATTAAGTGACAAGCTTACTCACCTGATAATTTGTAAACACTGTATCAAGATACACAGTTTGTTTTAAATTTGTATCGTGTTGAATAATCTACTAAAAGGAGCAAGCTTACACTTTTTCTTCACAACTAAGATCTTCAAGTTCAATTGGATGGCACCAAACATACGTATTTCAAAGACATTCCACTTCAATAGGGTCACGTCATTCCTAAACCACATATTGGAATTCTTAACCTCTTGCCCCCTTACGAAACATTTTTTGGTTATTCCTTTTTCTTAACAATATTTTGTTATTACATAAATAAAAACTACCTCCATATTTTCCTTATTGTGTATTATAGTCATATAATTTCACCATATTAATTAAGGTCTACCACCTTACAGTGATTAGAAGAGTTTTCTTCCGCTTAAAATGTCAAAGACATTGTACACAATTGTCTTTTTTTCTTGGCTCTTAATATGGCCTTTCAATTTTATCAGTGGCACGTTTCGTAAGTATTAAGGTAATAATCTACATGAAATCCACTGTTGTTGATATAATAACACTGATATTAGTAAAATCATCATGAATTTACGAATATTTCGCTTGAAAGTGAAAACAGTTATTCACTCAAGTCATCTTTAATAATTTTTCGAATAACTTAATATACATATATATTTTAAGAACTCTGTTTTTCCTGACAGATCATTGGCTCCCAAAATTTTACTTTGTTCCCACTGAAGAATTGGAAAAGGAACGTCGTTGCCGTGGCTCAGCAATTCGTAAAAGCAGTTTCCGTTTAGTCGGTGAATCTCGTTTTCTTTGGGGACAATCAGTCTATATTATATCTCAGTTACTTAGTAAGTTGAATTTTCCTTCTTTGTGAATAATTCGCAGATTGCAACAAGAATTGTGATGTACAGTTTAATTGTTCTATTTTAGATGCTAAATAATCCCTAATGTTATGACTGCTTGAAATGGGCAGAAAATCACTTGAATAGGTGAAGATAGGGGAACTGGTAATTTTTCTCACGAAACTGATCTTTCAATCTCGGTTGGGTGGATGATAGAAGACACAACTGTACTGAGCAACTAATTAAGTATATCTGAATGTATATTATGAAATTTTGAGTTTTTTATTTCTTCAAATAAAATATTGTTTATTTATTTATCCGATAGTAACAAGTAAATAGCTAAAACTGAAGATGAAAATTAAAAAAAACAATTGATGACTTTGTATTCACCGTAACACTTGAGTAATACATAAATTTAGTGATTTATTATAGATAAGAAGTGAACGTAACATTTGTTGGGTTTCATTTATGGTCTTCATATCAAAGCCTGCACAATTGCTGTTTTACTCTCTCAGAATTCGGTTAAATATCAGCTTGATTAACTCCGCCTGTGGCTCTTCTAGGGCTATTGCCAGTCTCAAGCCCGGGTAAAAAAAAGGGTTGGGCATGGGGTTAGCAACCCCATCCCGCGGGGAAACAACCTTGCTAAAACAACGCTAACCAGAATAAACAAGTGAAACCATTTGAACTCTCTACTGGAAGTCGAAAGATCTTCATTCAGAAGAATTATGAAACTGAACGCCGAGATTGTTTGGAGCCACAAAACCGATGTCCCTTCTAACAACCAGAGAAACAGTCAATATAAGTACATAGAATGTCTGGACAATGTGAGAGACCAGGAGGACTAATAAAATAGTTGCGAAAATGGGGAAATACAACTTTGTGGTGCTCGGACTCAGAAAAACTCATTGGACCTAAGTTGAGCAGAAAATGGATAGATTCGGGAAAGATGCTGTTGTACTCTGGCCACGAAGAGGAAAATGCTCTACACACTCAGGGTATTCTTCTGATATTGTCCAAAGAAGCACGTAAAACACTTATAGGATGGTAACTTCATGGATTGAGAATCATAGAAGCATCCTTCAAAAGAAAGAAGTAAGTGATCACAGTAAATGCTATCCATTGTTACGCATTCACAAGTGATAGCAATGATGACGATAAATACCAGTTTCACGAGAGGCTGCAATTAATCATAGAGAAGTGCTCAGGAAAGGACAGCGAAAAAGACTTCAAGAGAAGGAAATATGAAACAACTTTATGACACGACCAAGAAACTGGAAGAGAAATATAGTAAACCAGAGAGACCGGTCAAGGGTAAAGAAGGCAAGCCAATCACTGAGATTCAAGAACAGAGGAACAGGTGGGTGGAACACGTCGAGCAACTCTTGAATAGGTCAGCTCTATTGAAGCAACATCTACAGACCTTCCTATTGATGTCACTCCACCAACAATCAGAAAAATCAGGATGTCCATCAGATAAACTAAGAGTGAGAAGCAACAAGACGTGACAATATACCAGCTGAAGTACTGAAGTTAGGCGTCGAAGCAACTAAAAACATGCCTCACTTTCGATTCAGGAAGACTTGGGAGGATGAACAAGTGACGACAGACTGGAAAGAAGAATAGTTCATCAAGTTACCAAATAAAGGAGATCTGAGCAAATGAGAGAACTAAAGGCATCACACTACTATCAGTATCAGGAAACTTTTTCAACAAATGTTGCTGAACCGGATGAAAGATTAAGTAAACCTTCAACGTCGAGATCAATAATCTGGATTCCGTAAGGATCGGTCGTGCAAGGACTGAATCACAACACTACGGATCATTGTTGAACTATCAGTTGGACGGAATTCGATATTACATATAAAATTCGTTGACCATGATAATGCATTTGACATTGTGGGTAGGGAAATCTTATGGAACCTTATTCGATACTATGGTGGGTCTGAGAAGGTCGTCAAGATCACACGGACTTCACACGATAGACTTCACTGCAAAGTCGTGCATGGAAGACAGTTGACAGATGCATTCCAAGTAAAGACCGGGGTCAGACAAGGTTGCATACTCTCCTTCTTTTTCTTTCTTCTGGTGGTTGACTGGATTATAAAGACTTCAACATCTCAGGAAAAGCACGGAATACAATGGACAGTTTGGATGCAACTAGACGATTTGGACTTCGCAGATGACCTAAACCTTCTATTCCATACGTATCAACAAATGCAGATCAAGTCAACTAGTGTGGCAGAAGCCTCTGCATCAGTATGCCTCAACATAACAAAGGAAAAAGCAAGATCCTCAAATACAACACTGAGGTACAAGTATTTATAAAAAATTGTCTACACAAGATACTGAAACTATCATCAACAGCCTACTTTGTGATAGAACAAACCAGGTTTGAGCTGAGGAGGAAATTAGGAAAATACGATAGAGGTGGATAGGAGATACATTTAGGAAATCACCACTTTGCATCACGAGACAAGCGCTTATCTGCAATCCTGAAGGGAGATGGAAAAGAGGAAAACCAAAGAACACACTACATCAGGAATTGGAGGCGGATATGAATAGGGTAAATAGGAACTGGAAATAACTGGAGAAGAGAGCGCAGTACTGATGTGTATGGATAATGCCGGTGAAGGCCCTTTACTCGAACACTACCAGTCGAGTGAGAGCTTATGGCGAACTGTCATATGATTTTACAACCTCAAGTGGTGTCCGACAAGGCTGTTCACTATCCCCATTTCCGTTCAACTTCACCATATACCTACTGACGGAAATAACACTCTCGTCGACTGAATTTTCAGGAATTGATCAACCGGGAGGTCCACTTATCGACTTAGAATACGCAGATAACATAGTCCTGTTTGGTGAAGACGCTGACAAAATGCAGTCTTCTGTTAGAACTGTGTAATAATGCCAGGATGTTTGGGATGCGGTTCTCTTCATCTAAATGTAAATTGTTACTCCAGGACTGGCCTGCGTCTACACCTGAACTAAGGATAATGAGTGAAGTAGTCGAACGCGTCGACAACTTCACTTATTTTGGAAGTCAGATCAGCCCTAATGGGTTGGTGTCTGACGAAATCTCAGCACGGATTCAAAAAGCTCGTTTGGCTTTTGCCAACTTACGTCACCTATGGCGAAGACGAGATATCCGTCTATCAATTAAGGGACGAGTATACAGCGCATCAGTTCGCTCTGTTCTACTTTACGGCTGCGAAACATGGCCATTAAGAGTAGAAGATACTCGTAGGCTACTAGTATTTGACCACAGATGCCTTAGAAATATTGCTCGCATCTGCTGGGATCACCGGGTAAGTAATAGTGAGGTTGGACACAGGATATTAGGAAATGATGGTAAATCAGTTGATGAGGTGATGAATCTTCATCGACTGAGATGGTTGGGCCATGTGTTACGTATGCCTGAACACCGATTACCACGACGCGCTATGCTGACTAGTGTAGGGGATGGTTGGAAGAGGGTTAGGGGAGGCCAAACCAAAACGTGGCATCAGTGCTTGAAGTGACTAACTTCTAGTGTGAGCCATGTTGGCAGATGCAGACTACGTGGTTGGGGTCCGCGTGACTATCGTAACCAATGGTTGGAGACTCTAGGTGACATGGCTCAGAATCGATCGCAATGGCGTAGGTATATGCACTCTTTATCTTCCCTTAAACTTTAATATTAAAATTGCTTCATAACGTTTTTCCTTGCTGTACTATATCCTTATATACAACCTATAATTTATATATTACTACCACCACTAAATTAATTACTTCTATGAATCCAGTGTTGATCTTGTTGTGCTAACGAGGTATGGCAACTTGGACCGATGCATATGTGTGCCTGGTCCTACGTTGTAGCCGACTGACTGAATGCCGGTGGGCGGCCTTTGCTTCTCCACGAGTGGTAACAGATGTACTTAATGAATGAAGTGATTGGTTTGATTAGTTTGTTTACAAGTAATACAGAAGGATTCGTTCCCAAGTTTTCGTTCTAAATCTTATTTTAAATGAGGAAATATGAGGGTAAATATGTTCAACGGAAAATGGTATTGGGGGTTCTTATGTCCTAGTAAAAACGACACAATCTCAGAGTTCGTTATACAACTTAATGAAGACACTTATATCACTAATGCTTCTCTACGTTACGAAAGGTCAGATATTACAAAAGTCTTATCGCCATTAATTACATGATTACATTGTGTTCTTTTTTTAAATTGACAATGTATTAAGAAGGGGATTTGTGGAGATTTCAGTATTTTTCAAAGTTGAAATCATGGGAAGCAGTGACCAGTGGAGTTCAACCACGTCCTTTGTGAGATATCAACTCACTGAAGGTAATTGGCTAATGGTTGCTCAACATCGTGGATCAGTTGAGGTTAGACATTAACACCGTTGGATGCCAGCTCAGTGGTCTATCGGTTAAGGGCTTCGGCTCGAAACTGGTAGGTCCTGGGTTCGAATCCCGCGAGAGTGGGTTCGTGGATGCGCACTGCTGAGGGGTCCCACAGTAGGACGAAACGGCCGTCCAGTGCTTCCAGGTTTTCGATGGTGGTCTAGCTTCAATTGACTCATGATTTCAACTTTGAAAAATGTATTAAGAAACAAATTGAGAATCGTAAGTTGTTATTTTGTCTCTCCATTTTCTTATTTTATTACGAAGCAAGTTACAAGATGTTCTTAATAAATGTGTCTCTTTTATTCATAGTTTCTGGATGTCTTCTACCAAGTGATTTGGATCCAATCGGTCGAAGACCATCACATCGTTTCTCTGGAATGTCATCTACTTTAGGTAACGAACTTTTATTTTCTGTAAGTTTTTGATCCATTTCGTTCAAAAATTTTTTATTTTCCTATGCGCAATGTATTTATTCAGTTTGTAGGCTGCAGTACTTATAAATGGATTTCATAATTGCAAAGTTAAGAAATAGTTATAGTTTCTTGTTTTGCCGTTTGCTCTTCAAGATTAATTGAATCTACCCCAAATGATCGTTTTTTCTTCAAAATTTGGTATAAATCAAAATTAATTTTTCAAAGGTCCATGTTAAATTACTAGCTGGTTATTCAGTTAAGCATGTACTCTGTTACAAATTACTAATGTTTTTCCAGACGAAGTAAGGGTAAAAACCAAGTAAAATTTAACTAGGATGGGTGTTGGAAAGATGCCTTTACGATTAAAGCATTCGACTTTCAATGGAATTCGTCGAAGGGTCGAATTGCATTTTATTTACCTCGGTTGTGGCACTTAGGTAATGTCCCGAATAGCTTTCATACAATCAGTGTACATAAATCCTGTACCTGGTAAATGTGTTATGTTGATACAGAATTCACTAATTAACTTAGGCTGGTTAAATCAAGTAGGGATTTTTCATAATTTCTAATAACGTGTAATTAATATCTTATTAACAAACTATCTTCTTAACTAATATTATCGCTTGAAGTTAAAGACTAGAGTAACTATCGTGAATGTAAATTGGTAGTCTTAACGAATAAAGACTGTTTTTGATTAGAAGCTTATCCAGGCTGATCTTACCTATACTATCAATGCTTTGATATATGTTTTTGAATTTCGATGAATTTTAGTCTCGACACATCTTCAACTACATTGAATATGTTTTTGAAATCATATCACATTAATATAAAAACGCACTAATGTCAAGTTGACAGATCAATATATTGCTCATATCACAGGGAATGTCGGTTCACGAGCACTGATCGCATTATTAGCATACACACACATCAAACTTGTAGTATTTTTCTGCATATCTGACTTAATACCTATGTTTAAATTAGTGAAAAGCTGAGAAGTATTTTAATCATTTAATAAAACAAACTTTTCAAGTAGATTTATCTTTGAATTTGTTTTGCTGAATCTTTTTTGAAAAATATTTGTATATCACTGACTTAAATCTTGCGTTTCTTTTTACAATGCATGATGTAAGTAAACATCATAAGACCAGATGGTGATAAGTGAACGTCGCAAACTAAATACTAAGGAAATATGTTAATGAACAGTAGGATAAATTACTTTTACTATTAAGGTTTTCATTCCTTCTAAAAAATTATTTGTATCTCAGGGAAAATCGATGAATGTGACAATTCAAGTAGTTCTTATCTCTGAATCTGTGCGTTTACAACAAGTTTTAGCAACTTATGGCATTATCACTCAAACACCTGTACAAGTTGAACCTATTCAAGTGAGTTGATTAAATTTTTATTTTATTCTTGGTGTTGTTGATTATTTACCTTTACGAATTAATTTCTGTCTTATCAATCACTCCTTATTTTTGGTTCAAATCACTAAAGATTTTAGTGAGACTATGATTTATGGACGACGCTTTGAGCAATGCTTAAGTGGTCTTGAGAATATCCACCTACTTACCAGGGTGAAATGAGGGTTATAAATTCACGTGAGGAATCAGGGTTAAGATTTACAGTTGAAAGTTAGGGTTAGGGTTCTCATCACGAACTAACATAAGCTATAATGCCAAAATGGTATTTAGTCATATGGATGAATGAATTTCGCACCAGAATCCAAGACCTGCTATTTCGAATCTGACTGATTCGTCCATAAATTATAAACTCGCCTAGGTTTTGTTTGAAATTAGGTTTATTCAGTTTTTTTAATCAGCCTGAGTACTACTTTCTTTTCTATAAATTTTTACTAATTTCATGAAATACTATTCAGGATTAAATAAACAAACTCAGTCAATCCTTAATGACAGGTCAGTGGCACTAATGTATTGGTATGGTTTGTTTTATTTAATCAGAAGGATAGAAGTTGTTGTTCTGTCCATCATGAAAGCAGATCAATCAGACAATATTTCTCCTTTTAAACATCATATTCACATGACTTTCTTCTTCTTCTTCTTCTTCTTCTTATTATTATTATTATTATTATTATTATTATTATTATTACTATTATTATCTTAATTAACACAACTCGTTTTTTTTCTGTTATCTATTTTTCCACATGATTTATTTCATTAGCTTGATTATAACCCTACCTCATACAGGCGATTTTTATACTTCTTTCTACTTCCTTCAAATTTTCGAATTACTTACTTCCAATTTATTTAAGCTGTAACAATGTCTAATCCACATATTATGATATGCGTTATTGTGGTCACTAACATAGTATTTGTGGAATTATAATTTTAGTCACGTCGTAAATATTCTATTGGGATCTTTTGATTTTTAAAGTAGATTTTCATTGACAATATAGTTAAAGTTATTTGCTTTTGATACAAAAAAAAAACATTTTTCTCAATTTATTCATTTCTTAATTCTACTTAATTATTTCAAAATTGACACTTATTTCATAAGATGTTCCGATTTAGCCTTAGAATATTTTATAATTTTATTAATGCTTGTTGATACAATGTGTATATTATAATCTATGCGAAAGTGTATAAGGAAAAAGGAATCTTGTCTTGTTGGAAGTAACCTTGGAATACAATCAAATGGTTGATTTCATTTTATGATTATTCATCTATTGTAGTTTCTGCTTTGGATTCCATATGGACCCATACTCTCTCTGTCTTTCGATTTATAGATTTGGTCTCCAGATCAGCTTGTTCGTGTTGGCAAATTTATGGGTTGCAGTGAACGTCTAGGTTTATCTGGTCGTCCTCCTCGACCTTATGGACAATTAGGTACCAGTAAATTTTATAGGCAAGTTATCGTTTTGTCCAAGATCCGTGTTTTGTAAATGATTGTGATTATCATTAAGTGAGGATCCAAATGTTTTGATTGTTATAACTTAACGTGATGATACTGGTTAGTAGTCCATACGCCCCATGGAAACATAAATTTGTAGTTCTTTGTGATCTTAGCATAAGCTTGTGAAGATTCGTGGCTCAGGTAGATAGTTTCGGTGAAGTTTTGTCCTCTAGTATTTACTATCTAGCTAAATAAAGCTATGTGTTGTAAGTAATCTTTGGTAAAGTTTTTTTCAAGTTACTTTTTAATTAAATAAAATATTGTCATCCGTTTGTGTCTTAACAGTCCTACTTAGTTTTCTAAAGGTTTCCTAAGTATAATACTTTCGAGTCGTATGGACTGATTTCCCATCTACAAACAAAACTGTACTGCCACTAGAATGTATGTTGAAGCAGTGTGTCAATGATTAAGGCTCTTGACTTCAAATCGTCAAGTCATAGGTTTGAATCCCGCTCCACGTGCTTCGGTTTAAGTAACCAAGGTGTATCATTAATCCTTAAACTTAGAATGTAACTTGAACCCAAGTGTACGAGTCTGTAGGTGGTAAGTTATGCTAATAATTTACTTTTACTTACTTTAGCCTGTTACCCTCAATGGAGCATAAGCCGACGACCAGCATTCCACAACATACTCTGTCCTGGGTCTTCCTTTCTATCCAGTTGCTGTTCATTCTTCTCATATGTGTTTCAATTTCTCGGCGTAATGTGTTCTTTGGTTTTCCTCTTCTCCTTTGGCCTTCAGCATTCCATGTGAGGGCTTGTCTTGTGATGCGGTTCGGTGCTTTCCTCAAAGTGTGCCCTATCCACTTCCAGCACTTCTTCCTGATTTCTTCTTCCGCTGGAATCTGGTTTGTTGTCTCCCACGGTAGGTTGTTGCTGATAGTGTCTGGCCAACGGATCCGAAGTATCTTGCGTAGACAACTGTTAATAAACACCTGTATCTTCTGGATGATGGCTTTCGTAGTTCTCCAAGTTTCCACCCCATACAGTAGAACTGTCTTGACATTTGTATTGAAAATTGTGACTTCGGTGTTGCTTGACAGTTGTTTTAAGTTCCAGGTGTTCTTCACTTGCAGATATTCTGCTCTTGTTTTGCCTATCCATGCCTTCACATCTGAATCATATCCACCGTGTACATCGATGATGCTGCCCAGATATGTAAATGTTTTCACATCCTCCAAAGCTTCTCCGTCAAGTGTAATTCGATTGTTTCATGCTGCATTGTATCTGAGAGTCTTGCTTTTCCCTTTGTTTATATTGAGACCTACTGCAACTGAGGCTACTGTTACACTGGTCGTCTTCTTTTGCATTTGTTGTTGCGTGTGTGATAGAAGAGTCATATCATCTGCGAAGTCTAAATCGTCCGGCTGCATCCTAGCTGTCCATTGTATCCCGTGCTTCCCTCCGGATGTTGACGTCTTCATGATCCAGTCAATCACTAGAAGAAAGAGAAAGGGTGAGAGTAAACAACCTTACCTGACTATCAAATGCTTTCTCGTAGTCAATGAAGTTGATATAGGATGATGAATTCCATTCAATTGATTGTTCCACAATGATCCGTAGTGTTGCGATTTGGTCAGTATATAATCGATCCTTACGCAATCCAGCCTGATGATGTCGAATTTGAACTTCTTTGGAGTCCCTCATTCTGTTTACCAACACCGTGATGCCTCTGTTGTTATCACACTTGCTGAGATCGCCTTTCTTTGGTATTTTTATCAGAAGTCCTTCTTTCCAATCTGTTGGTACTTGTTCTTCATCCCAAATCTTGCTGAAGACGATGTAGAGCATCTTTGCAGTTGCTGCTTCATCTGCTTTCAGTGCCTCTGCCGGGATGTTTTCTGGTCCCGCTGCTTTGTCGCTCTTGATTTATCTGATTGTCATGCTGATCTCTTCAACCGTTGGCGGGCCAACATTGATTGGGAGGTCCGTGGGTGCTGACTTGATGTTGTCTGGGTTCAATGGGGTGTTGGTGATTACTTTGCCTCTCCTGCTTTTCACTGGTCGTTCTGGTTTAAAATAAATGACGACCTCCTAACTCTCAGGGCAGAGTTCAGATGGTTTGAATTGTTTTTCTTGGTTAGCGTTTTTTTAGCGAGTTAGTTTTCTACAGGACGGGGTCACTAACCCTATGCCCAACCCTCCTCGTTTTTCAGAGCTTGTGAGGGGCTCCAGGCGACGTTATGCTAATAATTACCAACTGTTTATCACAGGTCAGTGTCTCTGTGATATAAACATCTCTTAAATAAATAAAATATAAATTGTCAATTATTGTAACTCATTCACATTAACTACAAGTTAATATATGCAGTTTCGAACTATGCTGTTTATACGAAGGTTAGCGATACTATCTGGTTGTGCGGACCGCATTGAATAGAGTAAGGTTTGACCCTACACATTACTGATTAAAAGTCGAATCTTTTAATCACTAAGCCATTGATTGGTCTTTATTATTGATTAGCTATCAAGTGATGTAGATGAAGGGTAAAACGCACATATATACATTCATTACTAGTTTTCACCAAGTATATTTAATTAATCCAATACACTATATGGCTATTTTGATTGTTTTCAAATTAAAAATTGTTTTATTAAACATGACTAGAATGTTAGATTAGTTAAATAATGTACATATTTAATGTCTACAACTCATGTCAATTAAATTGGATTATCCATTAACCATGTAAATCTATTAATGGATGTATTATAATCATATCTAATCATATTGAATTTTCATCTGAATACAAGAGAAATAGCTGTATAGCATTTTAGGTCATTTGAATCTAATTGATAAAAATTAGTAGCTAATGCATGTATAATGTCCTGTCTATCACTTTGGCCATTTAATAGAGAACATCGCGGTTCCTTTCATTCATACTTTCACTGTCGATGTCACCAAAAAACATTTTCAGGTTTAAATCCGGATATTTACCAAGTAAATTATGTTATCCTGTTACTTTTTCATAAATACAATATACATGATCTTTCGATTTTACACTTTATTGTATTTTTTTTCTAAACACTCATTACTTATCTTAGAATATCCGGTTTAACTGTTCTTTGTTATCCAATATTATTTGAATCTCAAGAGTTTTATCTACTTCATGATATGCAAGTGGTTATTGATGAAGCTAAGGTAAGTGAAATAATTATTGGCCAGGTTATTCTTTTCTTATTATTATGATTAATATGAAACACAAGGATGAAGTAGGAAGTAATATTTAGTATCCTATCATGATTAGATCATATGAATTTGCTCGAAAAGAACTAACTAGAATGATACTTAATTAAACTAATAAACTACAAATACAATTTATAAGAACTTTCGTCTAAATTAGAGCGAATAGTTTCACAGTATTTGAGCTCCGAGTTGGTGTAAGACATTAAATAGGAATAATATATTTGTAAAATCCCAGCGAATGAATTTGAAGTAAATCCAACGTTTCGCCTGGCAATCTGGTCCAAGCCTTTTCAAGGAATTCCAATACAATTATTCTCCCACTGGTAAATTTCAGTGAGATGTAGGAAATATCAAAAGATAAAAATATCTTTTGATTTCTGTGAAGATCAGTTAACGTCAATACTGGCTTTTAATTATGACTAGAATTTGTGAATGGGTAGAAATAATTAAGTAATCCATATAACACCGTATAATCTATTTCGCTTTATGTTCAGCCATTTAAAGTATCTAAATTGTGCTTTTGTTACTTTAATGAACGCATTTGTATGTAGTAAGTAGGGATAGCTATGAAATTTAAAGCGTTTCAACAAACATGTCTATTTTTATCGTATGTTTTTGTCATCATTTCATTGATTAACTGTTAGGTAGTTTAAAACAAGACATATAAGTGAACAACATTGTTTCCCATTATATTTTCATCAATCTTCAATCTAATATACAATTATATTGGTATGTATGTGTGGGAAAAATAGGACTGAACCGATCAGGAAAATATGTGAGCCAGTGATACACAGCTCGTAGAAAATTTAAAAAAATGTATGGTAGAATAAGAGTTGTAGTATTAGTAATGAAAATAATAACAATCAGGGAACATTCTTTTTCGCTATTCTTTTTGTGCTCAGCACTTAAACAATAACAGCTCTTTTTCTCTCTTGTGGAATCGTTTTTTCAATAATTGATCGTTTATATGTTTGGTTGTACAATCATCTATTTTTATCGACCTCTTTCATTTCTTCTTCATTACAGACAGATTTTCTATTTTTGTCTAATTGGTGGAGATTGCGTGGACGTCCCACATTTTGTTTTCTGATGCGTGAAGATATGGTAAAGTAAGTTATTTTTTAAAATTCTATTCGGTATTTATGATTACATAACATTGTCATTAATTTTAATTTCATTTATCTTTTTTTGTAACCTAATATTAGTGGGTAATATTCCGCAAGATATGTATCAACACAAAAACCGTAAATATTCAACTAGGTACATTTCTATTTTCTGGAGCATCACTTATAAATAAGTGTAATATCAATATCACAGCAAAAAATTCTAATGTGACATACAGACCATTTTTAGAAAGCAGATAGGTTAGTTAGTCGAGTTGGTAATTCCAATTTCAAGCAAGTTAGCCATACGTGTTCAGTAATATTTCAATTTGGATGTTAATTGATTTACTAATGAATACTTTTATTACCTCGGTCTACTAAACTAAATGGAGTACGAAGTTGAGTAGGTGTAGAAAGTCTTTTTTGGTGTATGTCAATTTCTACCAATAATTCTATTAGCTTGGGTGTTAATTTATTTATTCAGTGAATAGTTCTATTTTCCATTTTTACTTCATTGTTACCTTCATTATATTTCCTTAATAGTTTGTATGATTTTGACATACTGTATTTGATTATATCAATGTGATACAATAGTCGTCATTCATGTTTAAAAAGACCACGATGCATTAGAAATTTAGCAGGACGAGATCTTTCTTAAACCAAGAGGTTGTGAATTGGAATAATTGTTTATCAGTTCGATTATTAATCGTTGTTTTGGAGATCTTAAAAACCTGGACTCAGTTTAGTTTCGAATGTTAAAATACCTTTACCTATAATTATTATGTTAGATATTTTGAAAAGCTTATAATTCTATACACGTTTTATCCTGTCGTTTATTTGGCCTGTTATTGTGCTTCTTTCCTTCTGGTATTTTCTATTTTCCGGGCATATTTTCTGTGAGTTATTCTCTGGATTTTAATAGGTGAAAAATTTATGCTTGTAATCTGAATGAGATGATGTTTGATCCCCAGAAATCACGAGGTTAACTTCTTATTTTTGTAATTTAATTGTTAAAATTTTAATTTCTCATTTTCGCTCCAAAAGCACCCAGTATTATCTCCAGTTTGTGTTTCCAACCTGGAAAGGCCCTGAATGTCATTGGTTCGCTTTCTCTTTTACTACACTATTTTGTGATTCTGTTCATAAACGTTTTTGTGTTGTGTATATTAATTGTGAGTTGTGTGCTTGTTTTTCGTTCTTGCGGGCTGCTTGTGGGATTATATATTTTCCCTGATGACTCTGATCTTCTTCCTATAGTTAACAGGGCTCGGGCGCAGAGAAAAGCTTAGATTGTTCTGTTGTCGCATTGCTGATTTCCATTTCGTTCGCCGTCCCAAGGTCATGTCATAACCCCTCGAACATAGAAGATTAATTTTCTTTTAGAAGTCGGATGAATGTCCCTCACTGCCTTAGATACGTTACCACCAGGAAGATTTCAATCTTCTTGTAACCCAGAAAAGTCTACAATAATTTATTTACCATGAAGCCTGGTATTCGTGTTTGTGATAAAATGTCATGAAAGCTTTATATAACAGGTTTAATTAATTTGGTGACTACATCAACCACCTCAATATCCCATATTTTTAAAGGAACATCTTATGTGTATATGAAGCTTGTAAGTTATTCACCAACTCATATTATTTATATATTGAAATAGTTACCTCGTAGCTTTCATAGGACAAGTGTATAGTATAGCAGTGAATTATGTTTTGCTTTGGGAATTGTTTTAATTTAGGCTTTTCTAAAAAAGTAAGTTTCTGAACTATAAGTACGTTTGAACTATCAGATGCAAATTGTAAAAATCACGATGAAACAGTTCTGTACAGAGTCAGTAGCCAGAGAATCAATTATTTAATGTGTTGAGCTTGTATAGACTTTAAGTTTTGTAGTGATTTGAGAAAATTTTATGTGCAGTACAACTAGGTGTAGTAATTAGTTTTTGGAAAGTTTGTGATTTTTCTTTGTGAGGCTCTTCATAGAAATACTTGTTAAAAACTTTGATGACCATCCTCTACTTTGTTCTTTTTTGCATTTGATATAGATATTGGAGACTTCTAAGTGATCGCTTTCTTTTTTGTCACATAATATTGTAGATTAACGATTAACATCATATTTTGTACGTTTGTAATAATTTGTATTATGATTATAATTTTTAACCATTTTCCTCGTTCGCTTTTAGTATCCTTGAATTATGTTAATAAGAAATAACCTTAAATTCATTTAGTATTGTTTGTTTGAATCTTCCCATCGATGTGTTAGGACTGGAACTGGTCAGTCTCTAATTGGCATATGTGCATACTGTGCGTATTGCCTCAATATAGAAATAACCTTGTTCAAATAGAAGAAAAGAAAAAACTGCGTACGCGAGATATCCGTCTAGCAACTAAAGGATGGGTTTACTGCTCAATAGTCCGTTCCGTCCCACTTTATGGTAGTGAAACATGGCCGGTAAGAGTAGAGGATATTCGTAGGCTACTAGTGTTCGATCATAGGTGTCTTCGACGCATTGCTCGTATATCCTGGGACCACCGGGTAAGTAATGCAGATGTTAGGATACGGGTACTAGGTAAGGATGGCAAATCGATTGATGAAGTAGTGAAACTTCACCAGTTGAGATGGCTGGGACATGTGTTACGTATGTCCAACCACCGACTGCCCCGACGTGCAATGCTTTATGGTGTAGGAGCAGGTTGGAAGAAAGCTAGGGGCGGCCAGACCAAAACATGGCATAAATCCATGAAGTCACTGACATGTGGACTGAGCCATGGTGGTAGGTGTAGACTACCTGGTTGGGATTCGCGAGATGATAGCAATTGATGGTTAGAGACCTTGTATGACATCGCTCAAAATCGTTTGCAATGGCGAAGGTACATCCACTCTTTGTGTTCTGTCAAATTCTGATCTTCTGAATTCTTCATGTCTCTATCTTTTTTCTCTCTCCAAATTTACTTCATTGGATTATACTCCTTGAATAACATCTTCGAACCCTAGTTTTTCCCATTACTGCTTATGCTCTTACTACTTCTACCACTATGGGATTTCAATGGACAACTGCATCTCTGTGTTAATGTGGTATGGCGACTGGAACTGATGTACGTACGTACGAAGTTCTACGTTGTTGCTGACTGACTGTTGGGCTAATATCAGCACTATCTATCTAGGTGGTCACTCGTCATTTGTGAGGCTAGGTTGATTAGATTTTCTTTGTCTGATGCTAAGCATCTTACATAATCACACTAATCTTGGTGATCCTTATTTCTTAAATTTATATTTGTTTATGTCTATTTTCATCGCTTATATTATTTGCAGTAGACTATATTGATCCATTCATCATCTGATAACTTGTATCTAAAGTGAACTGTCACATAAAAACCCTTTTCTATACAATTCATTGTTTATTTGTTTTTGTTTTCAAACTGTTTTCCAAATGGCTAACATGAAATTGTCATAGTTTTCATTCCTAACTGAGTGTATAATTGATATCATCGTTATCAGAACAACTATAATTACTTATCACTCTATTTGAATGAATAAAATTGTGTAGCTCATGATCCATTTGTCATTTTCATTCATCAGTCCAAAAAATTTTCAACGTATTTTGTAAAAATAGTTACTATGGTAGATCGATACGTTGTTAAAATGTAAATCATTCACTATTAATTTCTAGAATTATTGGTTAGTTATTAGATTGATCAAATTTCAATGTTTATGATTGATGTGTTAATCATTTCCTGTTAATTTTTAATTATACATCAGTTTATTGAAAATTTGTACTGTTGTACTGATGTGATTGTAACATAATGTGATATGTTGCTAAGCAATGCGAATGTTGTCTTGCTTTATTAAATATTTTCAACTTACAAAAATTGAATTGAGGATTCTCGCCCTGGCTGATCTGCTCCATCTCGCTATACACACTTAATATCTGATTCCAATTCATGAGTACACGTAGATTAGCTTTTATTTTTGACGAAAATTCCTCCCGTTTAATGCACTCTACAAACGTATTAACTCTTTATAAATCCTATTTTAAAGATCAATCCGTTTATGTCTTATTTCGTATTCATAATACTACTCAAATACTATTTATAAATTTGTTTCAAGTTATCTTTATTATTTAAAGAAGACAATATAAAACCATTAATCTGGCTGACATTTTAACATTCATTATTTTGGTTCCAGATTTTCTATAGTTCCTGAACTTAAATGTCTATACTCATGTGTAATGTTTAAAAATCTATGTTTCTCAGTATACAACCAGAATATGTGAATTTCATTCTCTAGAAACTAATACGTATCACTTGAAGGAACAGATGAAAATAATTGTGTACACTTAAACCTCGTCATTTGTGAACACAGTGATAGCAAAAGAATGATTGAGTAGTTAAAATGCCTAGATTTCAACCAAAGTAGATCTCAGGTTCCACCTACTCCATTTCTAATTCTTAAGCTTGTACTTGGTAAATGAGTTGGGTTAATGTGATAATGAGAACTATGAGGGCGGTGAAAATAGAGATTTATTCAACTAACTAGTGCTGCATAAAATCAGACAGACAATTAAATCAATATATATGTTTACAGATACGAGTAGTATCTAACGTCTAAAGTGGACTGTATGGCAGCAGAAAATTGAGATCAAATTGAAAACAGCAGGGCTGTAAACAGGGAGTAATTGTAATAACAACAGAAATGAAGGGACGATGAAGTTTGTAAGAGGCAACCGATGGAAGATGTGCGGATGATTTATTTAATGCATAGTTTTCATATTTTATGAAGATACTCTTATTTTGCAATCAACAATAAATTGTTCTTCGCTGTCTGAGTTCTTCGTTTTTAACATGTACAGGTTTGTGTTATATATTTCTGATAAAAGTATTGTTCAGATGTTAAAATGCATTCATAATGAGATGTGTATTTATATGTGTCAGTTCTTGACTTTCAGTTTCCTTCGCAATTTTCTAAGCTTGTTTTTTAGTTGCTATTTGTTTTGAATAATTGTAAATAAATTTTTCTAATATGACTATTTTATTATATTCATAATAATAGGGTTCCGGGCTTCGATAAGTTGCTTCGTTTCCTTGTCAGCATGAAAAATGGAACTGTTCAGGAAGCCCATGTTGTTTTGGGACGTGCACAGGTAAAATTGTTCATTGGGTAGTTTATAAATTTATCCTAACTCTCAAAGTTTCTGCATGTTTGTACATAGGATAAATTGTAAGCTTTATACCTCCTGACTTATGCTGCTTTAAACACAAATGAACAGACAAATAAACCGAATAATATTCTCTTCATTTTTAATGGGAGTAAAATTTCAGATATATGTTACATCGTATTCTTAACTCATCAGCTGGATTTACTTACATTCCAATCCCAGATACATGTTTGTTAAGCCACCAATGTGTTATCCACTCGGTTATTGGGTTATAGTGATTATCAGTTGCTTGGCAAGTCTATTTAAGAACCTATATGTTATTAGAGACTAGTCTGTTTACAGACATTTGGAATTTCCTAATTATTAATTCTTTTCTGTTTACTTCGAGTTTCTAACGTTTGACAGTTAATAATATAAAATTCTTATGTACATTAAAAGAATTTTAATTAAATTTTAGAAATTTGTTGCAAGTGGATTTGTTGAACATTTAGACTTTTTGCCGTATTGGACTGCTAAAGGTGAATATTTCCGTAGATTACATCAATTAGATACTGGACGCTCATATCAAAGTTTAGATAATCTACCCAAAGCAGTGAATATACCGTCGAAATCTTTAAATCGGTTTCAATCGCATATGTCTGACGAGGAAATTATTCGAAGTATTCATGCTATAGATAGAAAAGTAAGTTCCTCTTAACATTGACTTCAGTTTAGATAGCCAAGTACTATGATTAGCACCTACACTCAAGCTCTGAGTGAACAAACCTGTTATTGACTATATGCATTGAATTTATATGTTTCTTGTTGTGTTACGATAATTAACTGTTATATCTCTTAAAAACTGGATTAGAAAGTTGAATGTTTTAAACAAAATATCCACATATCTTTCACATAAATGATAATTGTGTGAATATTAGTGAATAGCTTTCAGGTCGAATTCTCGACGTTTTAAAGACCATCTATAATCGATGAGAGTCCAACCACTTTGAAAATAAGATGGTAGCATTCGTCGATCATCAAGTTATGTCACAAATTTACTGAACTTGGTCTAAAAAGTAGACAATAGTTTGAAGTTGTCATGGTCATCGCTAGTTCTAGCACCCGATATAGCAAAATTTTAGTCTTCAGACATAACACATCTAAATCTTCATGTAAACTTTCGATGGTAAGTAATATTTGGCTTTATAGGTTTTGCGCGATTACTTGTCTAAGTTATGTGTAAAATTGGAAAGACTTTCAATATTTATTGAGACTTTGTGTTTCAAAAATAGAAAATCTATAGATTATAACTATCCTTACAAGGTAATTTCCCTTAGGGCTAAGTCAGTAATAACAGGCTTCTTTTAATTTTAATCTTGAATTTTTTTAAATTTGCACACTTGATTCTATTATTACTTTGTTTCTTCTGATAAAATATACATTTTTTGTGTTCTTTTCTTTCTGTTCAACTGTGTGATCTGGATGAAAAAAACAACTTTATATAGCCTTTACAAAAACTAACTGATCAACAAGTAATTGAACAAGCTATTAAATCAGGCGATAATCCATTAAGTTTAGCTTATCGAATTGCTGCATTACACGAATTATTAAATCGACATGGTTTGGATCATGGTTTTTCGACCGATCAGCATTTTCTCATTGTACGTGATTGCCTCACGGAATTGTCACGAAAAGCCGGTATTCAACAAGCATGGTAAATGTTTACTCTTTTTAAAATCTTGAGTTTATGATAAATGAAGTTTGGAATTTTAAAAATTCTTTTTAACTATTATTTATTTGTGTGTATAATTTTCCTTAAGAATGAAATATTCATCATTGTTATTTATCAAAATCACCTGTTGAGAATTTACTTTTACTGGTTATTTGAGTCTTCTCGTTGATTTATAGGACTGCAATTTATCACTTTCTTTTTAGAATATGTGCATTGTGGGCGGATTACTTCGATATGGCCTTAAATCACAAGCATTATAAGCAGGTGTGGGTAGTGACTAGCAGTGGAACCTAGTACTCACGTTTAGTCCTATTTAGGTCTCTTCATCTTGGTGTGCCTGCATCCCAGAGTTGATGTTCACTCCGGGGCTCTAACCTTGTACCGTTTGCTCCAAATACCATCGTGTTATTCACTTAGCTACTGAGTCCAGATAGCCACTAGCTTGTGCAATGAGATGAAGTCTAATTCATTCTGTATTGGTTTTTTGTATCTTTCCATTGATATTTCGGACTAGAATGGAAGCTAGTTGTACTGGGTTCGAGTTCTGGCGCGAACATCAACTCTGGGATGCAGGCACATCCGTCGGACGAAATGCGGGTCCTGGATTCCACTGCCAGCGACCATTTATCTCTTTATAAGACCTCTTAAGAAATTCATAATTGTGATAAAGAATTTTACAACCACTTGAATGGCCTTACGAAGATTGGTTCAATTTTTATGTAGGTTGTATTTGTTACAGAGTGATCTCTCTTGAAGTACCAGTGAGCACTGAACGGCTGTTTTGTCTTAGTATAGGATTCCCCAGCAAAGTGAATCCATAACTCCATCAGAGATTAAACTCGGAATCTTGTGTCAAAGGAAAATTGTAAGAGTAAATAGATTTTATTATAATCACAGGATGACTAATAGCACCGTATCATTGTGTTCAGTCGATAATAAGAATACTCGAATTTTACTAACAATGCTGAGGTTCTTTCAGAAACGATAACCGCTCGCACATTTCTTCTAATTCAATTTTTCACGTAACCTTTGGCTTTTTCTAATTAGTTGTTATTGCTTTTAGTTTGCTAAATTTCTGCATGTTTGAAGGTCATGTTTTCGTTACTATGTTTATAGAGTTGTAGCAGTTCGTTTTTTATTACTTTTCCTACCTTGAGTATGAAGTTTCATACAATTTGTATTCTCCTTTTGTTAGCCGTTGGTTGTTGATATGTTATATGTAAACTGCAGTTGTCGATTTCGAAGAAAACCGATTGCATTAGAGTAGCTCAATCGTTTTTTCTGGTATTGTAGGGATGTACTAAATCCCAATGACAAGATACAACAGACTGTGCCAAGTATTACTTGACTGGTAATTATGAATAGTTTTTGACAATTTTATAATGTAATCGCCTTGATTTATATGGTGACTATTATCAAGTAGTTTTGTAGTGTGCACTACTAATGTCGACAGACATAAGTAGCATGTATCACCAATCGAAAGTCAAATGCCTGGCGACAGAAGGTTATTAAGATCGAAGAGAAGAGAATGAGAACAGATAGTGATTGGCGTGGAAACGGAGGAACAAACAAGTTTGGGACAAATGGCTAATACTTTGCAAATGAAGTATTTACTGAATGCTTCTCAGAATTTACTGAAAGATTCTGTAATTTTGTATTTGAATACATTTGGTTGTCCCCACTTGTATTCTCGTTCATAACAGTGTTAGTTGTGCTGTTATTAATAACTTTTTCGTTCATTACAATTTCGGCCGCTTTGTTGTAGTATATGCATATTTTAATTTCTCTTGTTTTATAACCCGATCGAGTGTTTAATAAGTGAGTGTACTTATTTCAATTGTACCACACTATACAGATTTTAACTCGATTGTAATACAAATGGTAGTTAAAAAAGATATCTGAATGCAAAATAAATCCTTCGAATATTGCTATATTATGTAATCGGGACTGAATGAAGATATGACCTGCTTTTAATTCCGTATTCTTTTTTGAAAGAAATTGGTAATAGTTAACTAAAATATATAGAAAACGTTTCAATGACTCGAATGATTTTTTTATTTTCAAGCGAATGACTATTTTTTTAAACTATGCTCATTATTAATTTTAATGTGATTGAGAAAACATTTTAGCATTACACGAATATTCGTCAAGGTTAGAACGAATAGTTTGACAATAATTGGGCGCCGAGTATAGAGAATTCATTATATGTGAAAAAATTATAATTGAAATAGTCTCAGCGATTGAAATATAAATAATTCCAACGTTTCGTCCAGCTAACTTGTCTGGACTTCTTCAGGGAAATAATCAAAATCAAAATCATCAAAGAAATATATAGTGAGGCATTAAATAGGAATAATATATTTGTAAAATCTCAGCGAATAAATTTGTATTAAATACAACGTTTCGCCTGGCAATTTGGTCCAAGCTTTTTCAAGGAATTACAATCAAACATCAAAATTATCGAATATAAATAGGTACATGGTTCTCCGGGTTCATTGTACACTGAATAGGTCATCCAATCAACGTTAACAAAGTCTAAACTAGATATATGATGTGATATGTGATGTGAAATGATAAGCGTTAATATAACATATTGTATAGAAAACGTAAGTGGTGAGAAGAGAAATTACATTCACACAATATATTGTCTCTTATCAGTGAATTTATAAGGAAAAACATACAATTTGTAATATATGATATGAATCATATCTGTCACAGCATGTATAAAATGTAGATAATTAAACAAAATAAAAATATAAAAGGTGAAATTTGAAGAGTGTAAATTTTTAAAAACTGTATGTATGTTTCAAAGTTGAAATCATGAGTCAATTGAAGCTAGACCACCATCGAAAACCTGGAAGCACTGGACGGCCGATTCGTTCTATTATGGGACTCCTCAGCAGTGCGCATCCACAAACCCGCTCTCGCGAGCGAGATTCGAACCCAGGACCTACCAGTCTCGAGCCGAAGACCTTAACCGATAGACCACTGAGCCGGCATCCAACGGTGTTAATGTCTAACTTCAACTGATCCACGAAGTTGAGCAACCATTAACCAATTACCTTCAGTGAGTTGATATCTCACAACGGACGTGGTTGAACTCCACTGGTCACTGCTTCCCACTAGAACTCCAGGACATGTATCTTGAAGTCAGTCACTAGTGAGCATATGATTATAATCAGAAGGGGATTTGTGGAGATTTCAGTATTTTTCAAAGTTGAAATCATGAGTCTTCTCCACAAATCCCCTACTGTATGTATGTGTCATTTTTTAATGTTCCAGTGAATTGTTTGACAAATTCGGATAAGACGAGTTCTTTTATTTTACTTACTCCTTACTTACGCCTGTTACTCCCAATGGAACATAGGCTGCCGACCAGCATTCTCCAACCCACTCTGTCTTGGGCCTTCTTTTCTAGTTCTATCCAGTTTTTGTTCATTCTTCTCATGTCTGTCTCTATTCCTCGGCGTAATGTATTCCTTGGTCTTCCTCTTCTCGTTTGGCCTTCAGGATTCCATGTGGGGGCTTGTCTTGTGACACAATTGGGTGATTTCCTCAAAGTGTGTCCTCTCCACTTCCAGCGCTTCTTCCACTGGAGTCTGGTTTGTTGTCTTCCACAGTAACTTGTTGCTGATGGTGATTTGATTGCAATCAAATTCTCTTATATTTTCATATAAACACTGTTGTTAAGAACGTTCAACAATCATAATGTCTGTATCCTATATCTATCAATTGTTAATATTTAGTATTATAGTTTTGGTTTGTGTTTTTTTCAATACAGCTATTTCTGAATGCTTTGTTGATAAAGTATGTTTTAAATAAGATTTCTAGCTTTATCTATAATTTGTCAGCAAGAATATTCACCTTTGCCACGAACGATGTGATTGCTATTTCATTCAGGAAAAGAACGTATGTACATATTGATAGCTCTAAGTTTCTATATATTCTAATCATGATAGAAAGTTCAATTGGCGTTTTCTTTCAATACTGAATATCTTTTTTGTTGGACTATTGAGATGAATTATAACCGAAGTAGATGATTTCCATAGTATCGTGTTATTTATCAACTGGATGGTTCGATTGCCAGCTTTTCACTGTTATTCTGGTCAACATCACGTTAACCTTATTTAAGCAGAAGTGTAATTTTTGTTCATAATTATTCCATAAGTGTTAAGTCGATCGATTCCTATGGCTTTGTTCGTGACTGATTGTCATCATCATAGCTTTTGGTATCTTTGTATTCTTATTGACCTCTGATCATATGGTTGATTGATCTTTCCTGTATGGATTGATAAATTGAATCGATGATGTCGTTCTTTATTGTTTGAATATTGACCTGAATAGGATGTTTCTAAAAGTATTATCTAGCATTATTAAAATCTCATCAATTCATCATATATAGCATTTACCATAAGTTTGTTTACTTTCCGTTGGAAGCCATTAACTATTTAAAGGGTACCATTACACTATAATTCACTATCATTATGTACGGCACAGCAGATTGTTTACTTGACTATCACTATGACTTGTAACAGGCTAAGTAACGTTTCTGAACTTCTAATCTGTTTGTGGTAAATTTTCTAACTAACAGCTTACTTCATTGCTATTTGCGTCTCTGGATGCTTTTCATACAGTGATGTTTTATGTATATATTTGTATATAATACTGTATGTATGTAGTATTCATATTTATTTAAAGTAACTATTGAACCTGTTCTTGTCTTCACTAGTTCACAATTCACCATAAATTATCTGATCTTCATTGTTTTCAGGTGTGTAGTACGTTTGTCTGCTGCTTTATTATCTCAGTTCGCTAGTAGTTTAGCTCCGTCATTGTCAACTATTCTCGTCTGTGGCAAACAGCTTACTGTTGGTATTTCACAAAGCTCTGAAGTTGTTGTCAATAAACCTTTAAATCCAGATGAATTACATGCTTTATTACGTGAAGAAGTTTATTCATATGATCCTGTACAGTTTTCCTTACAACAAGAACTTATCCTATCTGTTAGTAGTTTATTGACTACAAATAAAGAGTTGTTTGATGGAATCAAATTTATACGCTTTGGGTAAGTAAATTAACATCTCGTAAATAGAGATTTGTATAATGGATTGTCCTTCCTAACATATTTTCAAGTACTATATGTGTATATGTATTAAACAGGCAGTCAAAAGGCAATGTAGTCTTTAGTGATAGACAATGGTGGAACATTCGTAGTCATGATCAAAAGATTATGTGTTAGTTTAGTCAGTTATGGACTTGGGACAAACGTGTGTCGTTCAAGTTGTCACTTCTTACATCACCACAAATTAGTAAGACGAAAATAAACTGTTATCATCTAAAGCGGAAATAATAATAATCTGAGGAAGTATACTGTTCAAAACGAAAACAGAAGATCAGAGAATTAAAAGATATGGAATAACATGAAGCTCTAAATCAACCGGAAAATAAATAATAAATATCAATACATTAATTGAATCAACTTTGAACTATATTATTTTCTAAGGTCTTCAATCACTATCTACAGTTACTGTGCTCATTCGCATTTGATATTTGTCTGCTGTGATGATATACAGCCTTCTTGAACTGAAATAAACTTTTATTAGAATCAATTTGTAATCAGATGTTTCTTTTCTTCAATTAGACAAGTCTGAATAAACTGACGGATCTACTGAAGCGAATCATTTTGAGTTATCATATTTCACAATAAAAATAAAAGTGAAAATCCGCAAAAGTAAACAATGTAACCGCGATGAATATAAGAGAAAAAATAAGTTAAAAAGAGATTTCCTGTTGGATATTGCAATATAGAATTCTTAGCAACAAGTTCCTTCTCCAAAAAAGGGAAATAAAATGAAAGAGACTGATAACTGGATACACACATATATAAATTAAGTAGATAAACTACTTGGAATTAAATGAAATGTTTTTTTTAAATAAGATTTGAATCTGTACAACATTTTAATCAGAAATGTGTTTAAGAATACATGTTGTTTACTAGGTCAGTTCTAACAATCTGTTCGTCACATCGTGCAGTTGCTAGATAAGGTATTATAGAGCTTTTATATCTCTGCTTGCGTGCATGGATTATGATGTATTGACTTCTCGTTCTATCAGAAGATATACAAGAAGAGAGATATAAGTGAAATGGTTGGTTAGTACTTGATAAGATAGCACCTGAAAGGAATTTACAAGATGTCTATCCACAACCATGTTAATAATGGCCTCAAAAGATTCACTATACACCCTGCTAACTGCCTTCAGCACTCTCCGGAGTACAGCGAATCCTTTCCCAAAACCACGGGAAAGAATATTGGAGATAAGAGAAGAGTAGTAGGTAATATGCAAGAATTGACAAGTCGTAAAAGTAAATGTCGAGTAATCGCAAAAACATACAGCCTCTTTATGTAGTAAGTTAGACGGAAAACTTTCTTCAATAACAATAAAATACGAGAAGGCCAAGAGAGATCAGAGAAAAAGCTTAAATCAAGTAAATGACTTTTGACAATGTGTTTATCAAGGAATCTCCAATAATACAAACTTTTTGGGATTCCAACTGGGTGTTTAAGTACTGTTTATGTCTCAGGCTAAAGTTAACCGTTTGGCATTTAGACGGATTGTGAGACCATTAACAATATACCACCATTCAATATGAGACGAGAACTCATTCATTTTCAGGGGATGTAAAGAGGAAGAAATCGACATACATACAATGAGATCGTCCGCGTATTTAACAAAAGTGTTTTCTGTGGAAGATAGGAGATCATGCCGAAAAATGATGGGAAAGAACAGTTTCTTGTGACACACCGTTAGACAGTATAAACGTCGAACACTTTACTCCAAACACAGTGTACTGTTCTCTTCCAGAGAGGTAGGAACATAGCTGGTTGGTTATCCCGCTGTCACTGTTGATGCTGATTAATTTGTTAAGTAAAAGTCGTCTTGGAATAAAGTCAAAAGCAGAGGTATGGTCCGTAAAAGTTCATCGAAAATACTTCTTACCCTTTCCCAAGCTTCACATTGTATTATGATGCAGAACAACAACAGCATCTAAGGTGCTTTTTTGCATTTGTAAGTAAACTGATATGGATCACTGTGCTCTTTTAGTTCACCTTGAAGTGGGAGTAACAATAATATTTCCATCCTTCTGAGAAAAGGTGAAGTTATTACTATCGGCCTAGATTTCACATCCTTATCGCCAGATACGTTTTTATGCATTTCAATTACCTTTATCTTTCTCCACATTTTTAGCATGGAATTAGTTGAGAAGGATCTGTTAAAAATGCTCGTGAATGGATAACACATAAGTATTTAACTTAAATGATTCATGACTAATAAACCTAGTATATGTTTACTTTTCGTTTACTTTCCCGTTTTCAGTTGGTTATTGGAGGCAATGAAATTAAAACTTGAACTAGAAATATGTTCAGATGTTGGTGAAGATTCCTATCATCAACAGGAACAACAACATCAAGATGGTGAATTTTGCAAATCTAGATCCATCTATGAATCTGTATTAAAATCATTGGAAAATTTAGAAATCAATCCACGTAGTCTAGGTGCATGTCATTTGTATAGTTTGCCTCCATGTCAAGTTAAAGATTTATTAATACGTACATTGAAAGCTGGTCAAGAGGGGAAAACTCAATATTTACTTAATAATTCTGTGAATTGCACAGCAAAATTTACCACTACTACAACTGGTCATACTACTACACCTACTACTAGTAGTTTTAATTCTGTTAAACCGACCGCAAATAATACTCGAGAATTATCAGTTATCACTGAATGTGGACCAACGAGTAAGAAATATTGAGTGGTTGTTTATATACTCTTGTGTTGGTTTTTTTTGACATGAAAAACTTAAAGTTTAATTCTTATCATTTTACTGTTTACTAACTCTAACAGTAAATCCTATGCATAGATGAATTATGTCGTAGACATCATAAAAAGAATACTCGCCCTATATAATTAAATGACAGAAATTTGAAAATGTAGGAGCTACAGAGTTTCATGATCTTTAGCAGTCGATCCGGGAAGTCGTTACGGATCAACAGTTGTTGGTACAACAAAACTACTTTTCATTGTACAGTTTCATCTCATATGCTGCTTACTTTTTTGTTTTATTGATTGAATCCTAGCGTCGACAAAATTATCGATTTTGAAAATTGACGTAAAAAGTAACCAAACCATCAAAGCCATTGTTTATGGATCTTAACCGTTATTGATTGACTATCTCCACTGTGTCGAAATTCGTTTATGGACATCAGAATCACTAATACAGTGTTACTGTTTTATGTGAACAATGCTTAGTGGATAGCGATTATAAAACGTAAATGTTTGTTAAATACCTTTCAAGAGGTTCCATCAAATTTGTTTCTGTCCAGTCACGATGTTAAGTATTTTCTGCTTAAGTGGACCAATATAAAAATGACCAGAAAAACAATAGACAATCTGTTTTTTTAACCACGTATTCAGTGAAATGGTGGAGAGGATTTGTAGTTCAGGTGGATAATTTTGATGTACTTTTGTCCTGAGCTGGATGGTTTGGTCGTGGAGCTTTCATCGTTCTTGTGAACGACATCGTCAGCACAAACTTCAGATAAAAGTGAAGTGTTCGAACATTATGGACAAACATAAGACCACAAATCAAATCAATGGGAAATATAACTAAAACAAAGAAAGTTTAAGGTCAACAAAAACCAATCTACATTGAGTTCTACAGAACAAGCTGTGAACTGCTCGTGGAGAAATTCGAACACTTCACTTCTACCTGAAGTTTGTGCTCATGATGTTGTCCAGAATAACGATGAAAGCTCCACGACCAAACCATCCAGCTCACAGAACGAAATCCCATCAAAATATGTATTCAGTGTTTTATGAGCCATTCTTGAGACCTAATTATCTGTTTAAAAATTTACTTATTATGAGATACATGTATAGCTGGTACGCAGATATTTTAATTTATAACATTTATTCTCATGTCTGTAGTTATTAATCCCGGTTAACTGTCGGATTTTGCACTGAACTCAAATATCTTCACGTAAAAGAATCTACAATATAAAAATTTAGTTGTACTTTTAATTCAGTTAAAGTCTCATTAGTGATTTAATAATTTAAGAGTTTTTTAAGTTTTCTTTCGTTTATACATTGTTAGTAACTGTATACTCAGCTTACTCTAGGTAGTATTTCACTGAAAATATGTTTTCTTTAATTATTGGTGTTATATATCAAGATGTTTCGGAATATATTCACCGGGCTCGTCGTACTCGTTTGCGTCGCAATATTCATCATGATAAACGTTCTCGTAATTCAAGTGCATTTTCGTCTACAGAACTTTTAGACATACCAAAAGCATTGTTTCAACGTCAATTGGATGGGTGTTTAGGCGTAGTACCTTCAACATTTTATCAAGATGTTTATTTTATTCTTGAACGATCTCCTCATGGTATATTGATTTATGGTAAACTTCTTCCACAGGTAAATGAGCTAGTCTTTTTGGAGCATTTCCTTCGTTTTTGTTTCATTGTTCGTACAACTAGGTCGCACGTTGTACGTCTGAGCTAAGTGGTGCATTTTGCATTCAGTAACGTGTATTTTCATAATGTCATAGATATTGATTGTTTTTTGAGAGTTAAATTTGTGTGGTGTAGCACCTCAGTCAAATGTGTGACCATCGATGTGAGAAACTTAAAGTGAACATCATTTCTTTTGGTTTATGTACAATTTAAATTTGTGATATGATTAACATGAATTCTTTTCGGCCACCCTCATATTGTAGTGTGGTATACTTATATCAATATAAGTAATATATGGCGATGGTCAGACATAGAATGTATTTTGGCAGGAGAACGATAAGGAAAGAACTGAAATGAAGTGCAATTGGTAGGAAAATGCATAAACGATGAAAGTAGAGAACATGAACTGATATTTACAGAAGGAACAGTGAAGATTGAGACAATTGGTTGTTATTTTGCGAATTAACTTTTTGCTGTATGGTTATCAGAATTTAGCGAGATAGTCTGTAATTTGTGCTTAAATACATTCGATTTTCCCCAACTAGTGTTCTGTTCATTACAATATGATCAACTGATTTGATGCAATATTAGAGGTATTTCACTAAAAATATAAATCCACAATAATTACACTTATTCCGTCCATTATATCCTCTCTTTCCCTTAGACTCAGGATTATTAGAAAACAAGACCTTACTTGTATCTTCAAAGAATTATTATTTGACATATATATATATATATATATATATATATATATATATATATATATATATATATATGGTTTATGAATCTTAGCTAGGTATCCGGGAAGATTGAAGGTCGATGAATTTGTATAATCAGCAGCAGGTCTTCTTATTGGGACATCTGTTTTATGAATTTCTGGTGGTCCATAAAATCTACATGGTTTGTTGCTTTTTGGATATAGAGAAAATCATAAAGATGATCCTAGTCTGGATTTTAAAGTCTGTAGCATTTTGGCTGTTTCGGCTTTCGACTTATTCAAAGTTGTTCTACATTTGTTATTCTTGATTTTTTCATAAGGTCCAGTGTGGAGATGTTCATTGACTTCTCTTTCATAATCAGAATTATTCATAACAACACTGGTGTTTCCCTTGTCATCTCTCATAATAACAATTTTTCTGTCTCTACGTAGCTGTTTTAGAGCATACATTTCTTATTTAGATAGATTAGGTGTATTCGGTTTTTGTTTCAACAATGCAGTTGAGATTTTAAATCTCACTGAGTTCGCTTGAATACTACACTATGTATATATATATATAGCTGTTTTAAAAATTTTCTTCAAATAGTTTTAATGTTATTGCTGATATTAATTTTATCTTTAAAGAAACCTATTTTAACTGATATGACGGCGTATGATCTCAATTTTGTTGATGAAGTTGAATGTCTTCTAAGACCAATATGTGATCCCGCTTATCGTTCATTGGTTGTAGAGACAATGATGGTCATCGCAGTTATATTACAAAGAAACACTGAGTTATCATTTAATGAGGTGGTCGATATTAAACTCATTATTGTAGATGCAATAAACGCTTTTAAGTGTGATCGTTATCCTAACATGTAAGCTATCCTTCATTCCTTTGTTTAAATGTTTTATTCAATGTGCAGTTTCTAACATTTTTAAAAGTTAGTCTGAATTGATTACAGAGGAAAAAGTGTTCTTAACAAATAATTCAATAGTAAAATGTAATAGTGAATCATGGTTTAAAATATTTCACTAGCTTATCCTAAGGAATATTTATTTTTCATTGTTTCTATGACACGTCAATTGTTTAACGACTTATGTATTTACGATACATCATGCAACTTAAAATATCTTGATTTTCTATGCTAACATTTATTGGAACTAAGTTTTAAAAGACCCGAATGTGTAATGTTGAAATGACTTGAATTTCAATATCTGAAATTATTTCGAATATTATTTTTGCATATAATGCGTAAGTTAATATTTCGTATGTAATAGAAATTTTAATTTGATTACTACACTGTCCTTTAACAATACATATGTTAAAGAAAATCTCTAGTTAGAATGCTGATAACTTTATCTTTAGTCTATCTGTATTTCAGACAGTATTAGAACACGGGGAATCGAACGACAATTGATAGATAATGGTGTTGTTTTATCAATCAGTAAATTGCAATAAAAATAGTTACAATGAAGTCATTCAGTCCTTCTTATGTGATGAGGATATTTAAAAGCAGAGTTCAGTTAGTTTTATAAGTTATTTTATTACTTCTTCTAGCTGTCAGTTAGGTTTATTTTACCAATGTGATTTGTCTTAGTATTTTTTTGAGTCAACAAAATCACTCATTCATTTATAAATTACGTAGAACCTACCGTAAAATCTGCTCTCTTGAAATTTGCAAATTATTTCAACACAATGAGATGATTAACAAGATGCTCAGCGAAGAAGTTGAAGTAAAAATAATGTGTGTGATTGAAAGACAAAACATAAAGAATATGGTTTACATTTATCTACATGGATTGGCAAAACAGTCTGTTTGATAACAGATATGAACGGGTCTTTTACTGATTAATTTTTTGTCTAATCCCTATAGGTAGAAAGTGATAATCTCTAAAATTAACTGTTCTTCACTTGATTCAAGGTTTTTTAATTTAATTTTGGAAATTATAGGAAATATGAATCATTTTATGGCTTTAAATTTGTGATAAGCAAACATTGTCCACACCTCCATAATTTTTGTTCTATTGTATAATCCGACCTATACTGTGAAACATTGGTAGCTCGGTTGGTATATTTCAATTCTATAAAACATCCTACGCACTTCAAATAATCTCACTATTACATCTCTGACTCAGACTCAATGAAATGAGTTTTGATCTTGTGAAGAGTAATATTTCCCTCGTAAAATTACAGATACGTCTTCTTGATGAGTGCCAGTTAATTTGACATCAAAGCTTTTAGTCAGTCAAAAACGCAAAAAATATTTTGTGTTTATTCACTATCATATTTTTATGGCTAGTCGCCAATTATTATGTCGGAATTGCTTATTACTTATACTTGTAAAATGAGGAACCACTGCAATCAAAAACACCAAGACTTGTACAAATGGGGATTCATTAAACTCAAAATACGACGACCCTAGTCGAAAATACACTCATTATATATTGATTGCACAACCATTTCGACCAGTAATTAGAATAGATTAAACTTATGAAAAATACTCAAAGTTGTAACAAGCCACATGCTGCATATCATGCTGAACATAGTTTGTCTTAATTTAACACAAGAAATATTGTATCTTGAATAAACATCACACTTAAATAATTTAATGTTATAACGAATAAAATATAACACTGAAAAGCAAAACAAATACTACCCTGAGTAATCACCATATTAAATTAAAGAAAGCTGAAGTAATGTTGAACAATAAATCACAATAAGTAAAAAGATGTAATTTTACTTATTAATTCCATCATATCACATATGTTTATTGTTCTGTACAATTTAAATGTTTCTTGTCTTTATTGATTCACCTTGATTGCATACGTGTGTTTGTTTGTTGTTTTAGGTAGTTAACGGTTTTAGTCATCGATTGTTTATCGTTTTTAAACACAGTAGAAGGAATAGAGTCTTACGTTGTCAAATTATAAAATAAGCATGTAAAATATCGTTACTTTCACACGGTATTTTTTTAACGGTTTCCATGAGATCCAACTGTTTTGAGCAGGTAGAATTTTAATAAATCGATTCATATTGGGAATCTTATGTAATATTTTTGTCTGATAGGCATCAACAGATAACAGTTTTTTGATTTATTGCCTTTCAATGTTAAGATACTATTTTCTCAGTTGTGCAGTTCATTTCTATTTCTCTCATATTTTATTTAGGTCTACTGACAACATCCTTCCTCATGTGGAGAGACGTATGTCATGGTCTGGACCAGATATACTGTCTTCCTCCGAACTGCCCATTTATCTGGAATTTGCATCAACTCCAGCGAATGCCACCATGGGAACTACTTCTTATATCGCTAAGTCCGTGATTGATAGACTATTAAAGGGGCATATAGATCTTACTAATGTTACTAAAGATGCTTGTTGTGCAATGTGATCTATTATGTCAATTCTAAGAGAAAAATTAATCTTATGATATGTTTATAGCATTTTACTTACTGTAATTCACCATAGATTTCCCCTTCACAGGTATTTGTGAAACATTCTTTTAATATTTAAACATCCTTATAGTGTGGCCACTATTAGTTTTATTATTTTCATTTTTTTGCTTGTTCCTCTCCTCAGTTACTTACATGTTTTATAGTTGTACCTTATGAATTGTCATGATTTCATCTATAAATTACATTTCACTGGATGACATTTTTTGCTGAATCAGGGGTATCTTTGGTGGAAATATCTTTACGAAGTTCGAAAGACTCTTGGTACTGATATCATTTGACAGGAATCACGTGATTATTACTAGCGCTCGACTGATTCGACAGTCAGTTGCACTATGTTTGAACGGCCAGATTTGTATTCTAGTTAGCGAATTGATTCTACACATGGTTTCATGTTTAGTGTCTTTACAAACGGTAAAATGAAGTCTTCGAAATCAAGTATTCTACTTGTTGACACTTATCAACAAAGCATGTTTACAGTTTGGGAAGAAATAATATTGATTCTGAAGGTGTGTGTTATATCATTTTAATCCACTAATAGGGACTTGGTAATTGAATCACATGACTGTCACCTATAGTTTGCGAGATTTTGATCCTACTTCGGTTTGGGGAACCAGATAATTCTCTTTAACAAAAACTTACGCTTGCAATTGAGTATATTAACTGGCACTCATTACTGATATCAATAGTTACTAATAATTTACTGACAGCTAGATTATATTGTATTTCTTATTGGCTGGTGTTACGACGGACCACACTGTGAAGTGGCGCATGGAGGACAGCTGACAGACGCATTCCAAGTAAGGACCAGAGTCAGATAAGGATGCTTACTCTCCCCCTCTCTCTTCTGGTAGTTGACTGGATTACGAAGACCTCCACATAATATGGGATGCACAAAATACATTGGCAGCTTGGATATAAGTAGGTAATGTGCATTTTTCAGATGACCTAGCTCTCTTGTCGCATACATGCGACGTGAGAATCTTAAGTACGTACGTTGATACAGTTCTACTGTACGGAGTTGAAACTTGGTGAGGCACTACAACCATCATCAAAAATCCACAGACATTTATAAAAAATTGTCTACACAAGATACTGAATGTCCGTCGACTGGGAACCATCATGAACAGCCTACTGTGTGAGAGAACACTCCAGGTTCGAGCTGAGGAGGAAATTAGGAAACAACTCTGGAAGTTAATGAGGACATTTATTTGCGTGAATAATTACACTGCATCACGAGACAAGCGCTAACTCAGAAGCTTGAAGGGAGACGGAGAAGAAGAAGACGCAGTTCGATGGGGGATACTAGTGTGCGGCCCATGCTCTTTCACGAGGGTAACAGGTAAAAATAGGTATTGCGTTCTTCAGATGCCGTTTCTATCTATGCATTTTTTTCTGTGTGCTACTAATGTCGACAGATATAAGTAGTTCGAATCATCAGTCGAAATTGAAATGCCTGACGGCAGAAGGTTATGAAGATCGAAGAGAAGAGAATGGGAACAGATAGTGATTGGCGTGGAAACGAAGGGACAATGAAGTCTGAGACATTTTTTACTACTTTGCAAATGAAGTATTTACTGTATGGTTCGCAGAATGTACTGAGAGTTTCTGTAATTTTGTATTTGAATACATTTGGTTGTTCCCACATGTGTTTTTGTTCACTACAGTCTCTATCAGTTTTACAGTTGGGAAGAATTTGAATATGGATTTAACGAATTTCTACGAATAAGCAATTCATAGATATATTGAGTGCAGATCATATGTATTTATCGCATTTGTTTACGGAGTAAATCATACGCTGAATACCATAGCTCATTGTTCAAAATGGATGTTTCGCTTGATGAGATGGGCAGAATTGTGGGCCGTATTATGACAACTGAGGAAACGTTTGCCCTTGTGTAATTAATTAAGTATAAGTATCGTATTTATCAATCAATACCTGCAGTCGCTTCGCATGATGAATATTTGTAAGGACTTGTCGATTGGTAATCAACTTTCGGTGTTCTGACAGACTCATGGTATGCAGTCAATGCAGTATTATGTCAGATAAATAAAAGGGAAACATAGCTCCTACTCTTCAATAACCTTTCTCGTTATATATTGTGGTCGTTTATGTAAAGGGTAAATTTAAAAAAAATTCACTGACATGGCTTAAGCAATATAAAGTTACGAAGAATGGTTGTGTAATTAAAAATTAAACTTTTTAACTCAGCAGTAAAGTGAATTATTTTGAAAAAATCCCGATGCGGTTTGCATTGATTAGACGTACAATGCAGTAAGTACTTTTATGGGTATTATATGTATGTATTTTCCGCTACCGATGATTCTGGGCTTAGTTGTCTTACTATGCTGCAAGATTAATAATGTGCCTGCCGGTATCGCTATTTTTCTAGAACATCACAGGAGTGTAGGCACAGTGAAATGTCACTGAACCCTAGCCAAATAATTCGGCAGTTAGGTCACTAAATATCGAACAGATCATCGATCCCTGTCAACGTCAAGAATAATCAACGCGGATCAGTTAATCATAAGCCATGGACTAGCCCATGCTGCAGTGTTTCTGCTTTCGCTTGAATCTACTTTAACTAATATATTCCTGTAATAACGTCCTTTGTGTTGTACAGTCTTCAGAACATCCATGGTCCCTCGATGCATCGATGGGGCAATCTATGTAAGGTGCTGATCGCGAGGTGTGACTTCGAAGTTAGCTTGTTCATTACACAGTTCCCGTCTAACTCGAGTAGACCTCCAACCATTTGAACCGTTCGACATAGTTCATCAAGGTTGATGGTTCACAGGAGTTTCTGCATAGTATGAAACTCTTTACCAGGCCAATATTTTTGAATGTTCAAGTTCTTATAGCAGTTTAGTTTTCAGTCGTTCCGGATTTCCTAATGTGAGTGTCTGATATAATCTTTTCGCAGTGAGCGGCATATTTGCGTCACTCTATGTTAGAATATAGTGCACCAGATTACCTCACGTGACAAGCTGGCGTTGTATCTTGTAGAAATTACAATATCCAATCACTAGTCATTTTATTCACAGTTGCACTTATTCCTATAATATTGTAGCTGTAAATAAATCCCCAAAATCAATAGCTCATTAAGTGTTCGACATTGGATGCTGACGACGTTGTTTAAGTGGACTTGTTCAACTGAAGGCTTTCGGTTATGCATCCGTACCAGATCACGTTTCAACTCGGCGTGGGACACTGCTCCTACGTTCATTAGCCAGCTTATAATAAAGGTTCCTTGATATATTGGTGACGTATCAAATATATCTTTCCTACCTCTTCTCGTCTGACTTCTGATTTACCTTGGCCGGGAACGATCAATTATAGAAGATACTACTGGTTGCTAGTTGTAAAACTAGAATATCCGTCGTATTCTTCAGTATGTTCACATAATACTGTATACCAATCTATTTGGCACATTAACACTGTTAGTACTTTACATATGTCAAAAGTCATCATAAATATATACAGTTCTTAAGTGACGTCAATTAAAAGCTAAATTCACAGCGTTTCTTTAATACAATACAATGAGCCATTTTCTGAATGTCCAATTTTGAGTGAATTTCTCGTTGCGCTTTCGCTTCGTCTTAATGAACGGTTGAGGTTGTTTTCTCAACATAGTATGTCCTTTCTCCTGCCAACCATCGTAGAATAGCAGATTTTATTCTGTCTAACGAGGTCGGTTCTCTCTTGATATTTTTGTAGATGGTGAAGTATTTCGTTGTCCATTTAATGACTCAGTAAGTTCCTTCATACGGTTGCTATGATGATTTTCGAAAGGCGACGACGCGACTAAAAATAGGTTTGTACGTCTGCAGGTGTTTGTCGAGTTGTATCTGACGTCCATTTTTACTTGGAGGTATCACTTTATTTTTCTGTATAGTCTGAAACAAACAACTTGCGAAACTTGTTGAAACGCTAAGTGTTTTGTTGTCAGGAATTGCCAGTTGTCCCGTCAAGAGCATAGGTATGCCGCAGACTAGCTCAGCGGATGTGCAGCCAATATCCACTTAAACTGTTGTATGAATCTGTGATGTTTATACGAATCAATGATTTCTTTGTATTGATAACTGCTTGATTTTGAATTCTAAAAACAGTACATTCGTTCAAGCTCATCTAATACTTCTTGATTAAATTGCGCTATTGCTGGGATTACTAGTTTATACTATAATTCATATACTTTAAATCATCACGGAATCCCAATGAGGACATTTGATAAAGTGTCACTCGATTATACAATTATATAAAAAGCAATAAGCAGCATACTAAGTTACACTATTACCTCTCGCCATAAAGAAAATCGAGTAAAAGTTAGAAACTTAATAAATGTTCGTTAGAGAATAGTTTGAGTCAGAACGTTAGAATTGAGAATAAGCTCCAGTGTAACTAACTAACTTGAATAGAAAAACCAGGATTAGTGAATAAGTAAAGGAACAGGACTTAAAAATCAAATCCAAACCTCGTCTGGAAAAAAGCTCTGTACTTTGTCCTCCGACCTTAAGAAAAATATCACTGTCATGGCACTTGCTCAAAGACGGGGACTGGAAACGTAATCGGTTTAAATGACGAACAGCAGTTAACTTGCATAGAGGCTTCGAACCTGAAATGTATGAAAAAGAATTGGGGGGGATCATCGTGAAGCAGCGTATCGCTCATAATTCTATCAACTTTAACAGAGGAATAATAAAGTTTAGTACTAAATTACACTTAAAAGAGCATCCATCCAATAGGGAAAATAAAAGTCGACGATAATCATCAGTGCAAACATTTTCGTAGGTAGAATCGACAGACTGTAGACTTCTCGACTAGATGAGATGTTCATGCCACTCTCTCTGGTATCTTTAAATAAAGGCCGAAATGCTTTCTCTACTGATTGACGGATACTATCCGTTAATTTCTGCTATTATCAAATGCAGATTCTCGTCTTATAGTTTCGTAAGGAACGAGACAAGAATCAGCTTGGGGCTGTGTAAGCTGTTCATCACTTGCTTATTACTCTTAAATTTGGTAAGTCACCGGGTCCTGATAAATCACATCCTCAAGAATATTATTTCAGAAACAATCACGGTTCTGTTTAACATTCTTATTTCCTCGAATTGGATGTTATTTTTCAGATTTATATTTTCATATGGAATGAGACTAATGGTGTAACTACCGACCTGTCAGTCGAATCAACATATTTGTTAAGTTACTTGTAAAATATAATTCGGGCAAAGTCATAAAAAAGTCTGTTAATTTTTGATCAATGCTTGTCTCGGAATAAGTATTAACACTTAGTTAGCTTAACTCTCATGAGGGAGGATCATATAGAAGCTGAAAATAACGATTTGTGTATCGATTTGATATTCGTAGATTTTAGTAAGTCTTATGTGGAGTCTCTCGATCTGTGGAATGATAGGTGCCGTACAATGATGGATAAGATACTTTTGTTTACAGTAAACGAAACCCTATATGGATGGAGACTGGATTATAGTGGTGTAACTCTAGTTACCATATTAGGTTCTAACTTTTTTCTCTACCCTAATGGATTACCTAGTGAATTATGCTTATTAGCATACATCTGATGGTAACCAATTTCTGTGATCGCAAAAAAAACACTTGGGAGTAGTGATTATTCATGACGGGAAAATAACTGTGAATTGTTGTGTGATGGCTGCCCAAAGGTTCAAATGGTTCAAATGGTTGAGGACGGAATGGAAGAAGCTTTCGCTTAATGGGCTTCCGTGTCTGGTAGAAGTGGATCACCAATACCTCCAGGCAAGAACCTAGGTATATGAACGATAATGTAGGAAAAAAAGAATTTGGTAAAACATAATAATATGTTATCCTTAGTCCTTAAGAATAAGTCAAGTTTCCTCTTAAAGGACTCCTGGGAGGTCGCTTGGACTAGCTCAGTCGGCAGCGAATTCCAGCACTTGACAACTCTAACGGAGTAGAAGTTGTGTCTGCAGTCTGTTCTGCTATGTAGGGTCTCCAATTTCTGGGTGTTACCTCTCAGGTTAGTGTTATGACTAAGCTTAAGAAGTTGTTTAAGGGGATGACCAGAAGTATTAAGGATACTATAAGTCATAAGAAGATCACCTCTAAGACGCCTATACTATAACGGGTAAAGGTTAAGTGATGAAGGCGCTCTTCGTAAGGTTTGAATTTGAGTCCCCGAACTGATTTCGTGGCTCGACGTTGTATACGTTCCAGAGTGTCCTTATCCTTTTGGAGGGAGGGAGGAAATACTATGTTTCCGTACTCTAAGTGGGGACGAATAAAACTGCTGAAGATTATATGGAAGGTTCTACCGTCAAACTGGCCAAAAATGCGCTTCAATGTTACCAGTACAAGGTTTGCTTGAGAGGCGTTTTTGTCACAGTTCGCATACGACTTCAAATCGTGGGGTACCAACACTCCTAAATCTTTTTCGACTTGAGAAACTTCCAGAGGGGAGTTACCTAAGTTATAACTATAGTCTGCATCATGTCTCAGATGGACTACCTTGCACTTTGAAGTGTTGAAAGTACGTACGTTGCCGTCTGCCCAACTTTGAAGTCGGGTCAGATCCTCCTGAAGAACTAGTATATCATTATGACTACGTATCTCTCTCCAAAGTTTCACATCATCAGCAAAAAGCAATAAGTTAGATGAAACTTGTTGAGGAAGATCGTTAATATAAATCAAGAAGAGAAGAGGTCCTAGTATTGAGCCCTGGGGGACCCCACTAGGACATTCCATAGCCTGAGAGAGAGTGAAGTTAACCCTGACCTTAAAGTGTCGGCTTTCTAAATATGAAGAGAGCCAATCAATCAATGGGGGTTTTATACCCAATTGTCCAAGCTTCTTGATAAGACATGCGTGGTTGACCCTATCAAAAGCTTTGGAGAAGTCCAGGTAGATGACGTCAACCTTCCCCTTGAGTTTGTTATCGTTATGTTTTTGAGGTTTCATGAGCTTTAACGATGTCCTACTTATGTAAGACCTTACATGGAACATGTATTTCAGTAGCTCGTCCATGTCTTGCTAATGATGGTAACAAATTCGAGAATGCTCAGCGTGTGAGAAGTGAGCTGTGGACGAGTCTTTCAAACTCTCGTACAATGGACTATTAGGACATTCGAACATTTTTTCCTCATTTATCTTATGATTGAAAGAAACACTTCTTTATATAAGCATAACTTACAATCTTCAAGTTCACTCGACGAAATTTACAAAATTGTGAATAGATAAACTTGTAAGACCATCTACGTTGATGATCTATGTCAAAATGATTGGGGGCCTACTAGAGTTAGACGAGAATGGTGACGAACCAACTAACGCTGAAGTCACACCTCGCGACCAGCCCTTACGTGCATTGAACCATCGACGCATCAAAGGATAATGGATGCTATGGAGACTGTACAACACAAAGGATGTGATTACAAGAATATATTAGTTAAGGTACAACTATGGAAGTACAGAAGTGAAAGAATAACCACTGCAGCGTGGGCCAGTCCATGGCGTACGATTGGTTTGTGTGCGTTGACTACCCTTGACCTTGGCAGGGATCAATGATCTGTTCAGTATTCAGTGACCCTACAATACTCCCTCACCAGATTCAACGGCCGTTTGAATCGATGCCAAAAATGTTGGGAGTAGTCGCGTGCCGGAGGTTGCCAGACGATTATTATGAATCCTCCGGGTATTGCCGAGCTGTAAAAGAAACGGAAAGGAGGCTGCAGAAACTGATCGGGAAGCAACGAGTAATAACACGTAACAGGGACGTTGGTTGAATGTTAAGCGAAAAAAAACATAGAAATAATAGAAAAAGAAACATGACATTTTAGAGTTTTATCAAGTCGCGTTGAAATAATTAGCTTTGAAAAGTGATTGAGGTCCTCAGATGCTAAACGTTGAGTCCGCTGCAAAAATAGTGATGTCACAGTGATAGTACGATAAGTGTATTATCAATCGATGCCGATGTTTGTACTGCCCTCGGTTCACAGTAGAAAGTCAGTAAGTGTCGTTGACAACTGTTCGTAAGCGTCGATTTCTAGTTATATCTATATTTAACAGACTAACTGTAAGTACAGAAGTATAACCGTGAAGATAAGCCGTGGTTTCCTTGTGCGAAGCTTCTGATCAACTTGCAGCCAGTTTGGAAAAACTGATAACTGCTGTAAAAATCAATAAGGGTCGAAGAATACAGAGCAAGAGCGAAAGGTGGCACGATGAAATCTCTAAAAGATGATAATTGGTGAGTGCTGCACACGTGTTTGATGAGTGAACCGAAAAATGTCGAAAAAAACATAAGAAACCAAGAGTGTCACTCTGAACTCATGTCAATGACATCGGTGAAAAATGCTGTCAGTGTTGGGGTCGAGACGACAATATCGTTGTCAGTTTGCAGGAGATGCGCTCGACTGCGTAAACCGATGATTCGCGTGAATGAGTGTCGTCAAACCACCAATTGAACTGGACAGGCTTTAGATCGTCGAGTAGTTGAACAGCCGATTGATGTACCGAAATCATCTGTTAGATAACAGCCACGCGGAAACAATACTTCATAACATGAAAAATACGACGTCGAAGTTGAATAACTACAATAGTTCGGAGGTGTTGTAATGTCACATCGAAGTAACATCATTTCGTATACTGACAATTGTACTGAACGTTCGTTTGGGCATTGTTTATGTAGCAATTGGATGTGCAGTAGCAAACATATACGAAGACTATCGTGGGGTTTATGGAGAATTTCAGAAGACGTTTAGATATTTTCCAAACCCGTATTGCATGTGAATAAGCCGAAGACGGAATTGAAGTGACTTTCGTACAATAAGGAAATCGAGCCATGATTTACTGTGTGAGATAACAGCAAATACAAAGCGCATAGTAAACAATAATTTAAATGGTAACCACCAATGTAACTAAAGTTTAGGTTTAGATAACGTGATCGTTTCGTAAAAAAAAGCATATTATCTAGCTCTAAGTGACATCAAGTACGACGAAGTGTCTCATTAAGACATGGACTAAGATTGCTCGTGTACATGAAATACGTTTTTTCGGAGTATGTTGACTTACAAGTCATAAATGTACATAGTTTCGACTAACATTTGACGGCAGTGACAGAATGTATGACTACTCTAAGTGAATGTAGCCGCGAAATGTTATTAGACATTATAAACATTATACGAAATTATTTAACACAGTTATGAAATTCGCCTGGGTTACTCTTGCTCCCAAGTAATTGAAATTTGTTTAATAAATTCGTAGATTAGCGAAACGTTGTAGACTGAATTGGTATACGTCCAAACTTAATTTGAGCCAAACACGTAGCATTGCCTGGCGAAACAGTCTAAACAAGATCTAACATTGCAGGAAATTTATAGTTCAAACTCACCGTAAATTTGTAGCATTCGTATCTTCTGATTCGCCATGGAACTCAGCAATTGGAAATTAGGCAGGCAGTGGTCAAGAAAGTAAAATATTCTAGTAAATAGTTTTTGATAGTAGTTAGTTGATAGTGATTAAGCAGAAAGATGAATTTATAATTGACAGTTAATCCTGTATTGGTTATACGAGTGGATAAGTTGCAAACAGATAAGCGTTCGTGTTACCTTGAGGCTATACTTACGAGTGGTTGATATTTTAACAGACATATTACACAGGAGCATTTACATGCTGCTAATGCTTGCTAAAGAACCACGATAGTCGATTATAGTCGTAGTTGATTGGTTAGTTCTATCGATTGAACTAACTATTTCAGTTGAAATACTAATCAACATTGATATAAAGCAACGAATGTTCACAGAAACTGATAAATATAGCCGAAGTTAAAAATGAAAATAATAAGTATAAAATGCAATAAGAAAGATCATCAAGATAGGTTGCGTTATTCGAAGTCTTGCTCACCAGTGTAAGACCATCTACGTTGATGATCTATGTCAAAATGATTGGGGGCCTACTAGAGTTAGACGAGAATGGTGACGAACCAACTAACGCTGAAGTCACACCTCGCGACCAGCCCTTACGTGCATTGAACCATCGACGCATCAAAGGATAATGGATGCTATGGAGACTGTACAACACAAAGGATGTGATTACAAGAATATATTAGTTAAGGTACAACTATAGAAGTACAGAAGTGAAAGAATAACCACTGCAGCGTGGGCCAGTCCATGGCGTACGATTGGTTTGTGTGCGTTGACTACCCTTGACCTTGGCAGGGATCAATGATCTGTTCAGTATTCAGTGACCCTACAAACTCACCATGAGATTCCTTTTTTTCTCATCGACTGGTCAACGCCTGAAATGCTCTACTCGGAGAAGTAGAATCGGAGGCATCAGTGAGCAATGGAAAACAAGTTACAAAAATCAATAAAGTTCAACGGATCTAATATCTTCACGACTGATGACTGAAGATCGATGACTGAGGAAGCTTCCTTCTACCCAGATATAGATCTCAGGTAACAAATAGTTTCGTTAATGAATAGTAAAGTTAGGAGTATAAGGCTCATAGACTAGTCTTTATAATTCGGGTGTATACTCTAAAAAGCAACCACCTAGTGTACCGTCTGACAAAGTTTGTTGTTTGAATTTCGTTCGGTTCAACCTTAAGTTGAGCGCATCATTGGCTTTACACGTCAGCTATGGACTTAACTTCTGTTGTCATATTTTGTTTATGTATTGGACTTTCACAAAGCATTTTCTTTCATATGAAAGAAACCGAAGAACGGTGCTTCTTGGAGGATGTTCCAGAGGACACTCTTGTGGCAGGTATACATATTTCTGGGAAATAATTCTCTCTCACAGGGAATTATAAATTATTGGCTTCTAAAGGAAAACATTTTGAACGCTCCAAAGACTTGGGAGTCAAAGTTAAGGTTATTGATCCATATGATCAAATTTTGCTCGACCGTGTAAGTCTTCTCAGTATCATGTTAGGTTATTCATTTCATGATATTTGATATACCACATAATGTATACATGCACCGGCACTAACTGCTCTTCTGTATATTAAATTTAGCAGTCAGGCAGAACGGAGTGAGATTGCTGCGATTAGTAAGTGAATAACGAGTATCATGTTACATATGATGATTGCGCAATCCAACGGATATTATCATGTTACATAACCGTAGTAGAAACACCTGATTACCTCTAAAGGCGGTTCAAAAGTTCTTTGTTTATTAGTCTTAAGGGTGTACGCTACTCGTATGCATTATCTGTAGACGATTAACAGTTGAATCAAGGTTTTGCATCAAGCTATTCAGAATCCATATTAAGACATGCGTTAAATTAGCTTGCTTATAAAAAGTTTGGTAAAAAAATGTTTTTATTCATTCTGCAGACTCTGCGAGTTTTACAATTATCTATTGTGCAGTTGGGGTAAAATGCACTGTGACAGTATGTATGACAAAGATAATCTAGAATACAAACAAGTATTTTGAATACAAGTTTTTTAAAGTTAGAGAAGCCTGTCTAAGTATACTGGAAACTAACGTCAAGTCTCGGGAGAAAACTTATAGACATCGTTAAGCCACCAGTTACATTTGAGTTTCATTGGTTATTTGTCTATTTTTACTAATTGAGCAAGTCGTAAATATATTTGGTTACGTTCATTTTGTGTACACCATAATTGAAATATGGCTTTGTCAGTTATCTTAATGTACACTCTAGACCAACTCAATACTTGGGTTCGTATCATATACACAAACAGTCTCGTAGCATGCTGTCATCAAACTTGTATTGCTAATCGGAGATTAGCTTGTCTGGGAGCCCGCTGATTGACGTAAAATGCCCTAATTGTATTGCCCCGTTTGGCAAAAGTCATGATAAGCTAATTTCAGCCTCGTCAAAGAAACAGGTACTACGTACACAGAACATTCATGTGAGACAGGGAAGCTAATGATTAATGCGACTGGTTTGCCCCTACTTTAGTTTCGCACTACACGGGTAGCCTAGCCTCTACGGTCGGTCAGCTACAACGTAGGACCAGGCACATATATGCATCGGTCCAAGTTGCCATACCTCGTTAGCACAACAAGAGGAACACCGGATTCATAGTAGTTAATCTAGTGTTGGTAGTAGTATATAAATTATAGGTTGTATATAAGGATATAGTACAGGAAGGAAGAGAGATATGAAGCAATTTTAGTCTCAAGGTTTAAGGGAAGATAAAGAGTGTATACACCTACGCCATTGTGACCGATTCTGAGCCATGTCACCTAGAGTCTCCAACCATTGGTTACGATAGTCACGCGGACCCCAACCAGGTAGTCTGCATCTGCCAACATGGCTCAGGCTAGAAGTTAGTGACTTCAAACACTGATGCCATGTTTTGGTTTGGCCGCCCCTAACTCTCTGCCAACCGTCCCCAATACTAGTCATCATAGCGCGTCGTGGTAATCGGTGTTCAGGCATACGTGACACATGGCCCAACCATCTCAGTCGATGAAGATTCATGACCTCATCAACTGATTTACCATCGTTCCCTAATACCCTGTGTCTAACCTCACTATTACTTACCCGGTGATCCCAGCAGATGCGAGCAATATTTCTAAGGCATCTGTGGTCAAATACTAGTAACCTACGAGTATCTTCTACTCTTAATAGCCTCTACGAGAAGGAAATAAACCTTTTTCTACTCTTGATGGAGTGCTAATGAATATGGTCAACTTACATTTAAGAATAGAGGTTGGTTCAACTGTTTTAAATTCTAAGTTTTCTAAAGATGGTAGTCTGGTGTTATCATTGAAATTGGTCGATTTACCAAAAGTCAATGTGACTGGTCTCAGTCGCTCTTCGTCACACAGTATTCTACTTCATTTGGTGCCTTTGTTTCCACCACTTATCGTGTTATTTCTCACGACGTGTTAATGTGTCATGCACATTATTGCGAGATTTATGCTTCTCAAACTGTCGTGTGGGCTTTGTTTTCCCAATTCACTTAAGTAGTTTCAACATAAGATTGTTGAGAATACTTTTCAAACCGTATTGTTGGTTCTGACAGTTAAACTCCTAAGGCTTGGAAGTGTTTATTAGTCGACTTGAAAGTTGGTATCTAACAATAATTGTACGTCCTTGTTGTGCCTTTTTTTCTAGGTGTATTCTTCAGAAGGGCGGTTTGTTTTTACTGCTCATAGACCTGGCGAATACAAAATATGCATTTCATCTGATTCCGGTGCTTGGTTCGGTGGATCACAATTGGTAAGGTATCCGCTACGTTCATAATTTTCTAGAGAGTACACCTCGACATTGCAGTTGGTGACCATGCTTTGAATTATCAAGAAATAGCTACAAAGGATAAATTAAACGATATTCAGCTTCGGGTTCGTCAGCTACTTGATCAGGTGCAAAGCATAGCCAAAGACCAAAATTATCAGCGTGTGAGTGATTTATATACCATATTTGTGATACTTTTGACTATTTATCTTATGTCTACCAAAGGTTACTAGTAGGTACTAAGAATTTAGGTCATTGAACCACTCAATTTTCTAAAAATTTCTCTGCTGAAATCGGTATTCAAGATAATCGTGGCACATGAGAATGTATGTAAGATGAAATTTATGTTGTTCCAAGGAATTTCGACGGCGTTTCTTCCCGTTGTGGATTGTAATCATAATTTATAGTTTTAATATGCTGGATTTGGCTTTAGGGAAGAGAAGTTGTCTACTTAATTATCTAACAATATATCAAAAGATTATAGATAGGGTCATTTATAGCATTTTGACAATTTTATTCCACATAAATTTATTAGCAAGCTTTGTAATTCTACAAATTATGCTTCTATGGCGTAGAATAAAATTCAGAAGTGCTAATAGATTTTGGTAAGCAGTTTCTTGTTGCTGGCTTCTTATGACTGCTCGAATTGTGCCTCAACTATTTGATAATAGTATACTACAATCTGATTGAACTGGTTATGCACTTTTATAGAAAATATGGTATAGATTTATAAATAGAGATGTTTTGAAATTCTGATTAAGTCATTTTACCTTTCAAAAAAAGCAAACCTCAGACCTGTTTTTCTGTGCATTGACTCAGCGAAAAAATATTCCCTAGCTTTCGAATATAATGTACTATGTTTTGTCCATTGTTAAAGTGCGGCTTCTGTCAAAACTTTTACAGGTGAGAGAAGAAAGTTTCCGGTCACTAAGCGAAAGTACGAACCGACGCGTGACTTGGTGGAGTGTAGCTCAATTGGTCCTGCTTATCTGTATTGGATTCTGGCAAATGCGCCACTTGCGCGCTTTCTTCCAAGCCAAAAAACTGGTCTAAGTAACCATGTGTATATTCAGGCCTACCCACATCTATTGTGATAATCTTCTGTAAATGTAACATCTATGAGACGTGTCTGTGGAAACATCTCTAAATTTCACTTTTCATCTGTGTATTTGCATTGGTGTCAGTTCGTTTATTTAACTATCAACTAATGAAAATCGTATGTACTTAGTATCTTCTGTAAAGCTCTGTTTTTTTTAATAAACTTTCAAGATATTTTTAAACCTGTATCTGTGTCTTATATTTCCAAAGATTTTTGTATGTATCTGGTAGTAATAATTTGGAGATGTAAGGGATAATATCTGTTTCTATTTGCGTTTACTATATATCCACTTTAGTAGAGCTTCCTGTTTTTATCTAATTAGATTGAGTTTCGAAAAATAGTTCTGCTGTGTACCCAGCACATAAGAATTTTATGCGTTGGTTTATAATAATGTAAGAGATGTTAGACTATCCCATTGATCATATTTCAGTGTCTAATATATCATAAAACACCATATAAAGTAAAGTGTAGTTGAAGGGTTGGATTTGTCATGGTTGAAATAAATTTATCCAGCTTAGGTGCCTTTTCAGAATTACCTTAGATCACCTTATTTTGGCAGACTGGCCTTACCTGTCTGATGATTTGTCTTATGATGTGAATTATCTCCCAAGCACATACATTAGGCGTGATGAACAGAACCAGATATGATTATGGTTTAGGTAATAAACTATCTGTTTATGTTATCTGAAGAGTGATTTTTCAATGTGCGTATTGTACAATTTGCTTAAGGTAAGTCGTTGCTCCTACTGGAGGATGTATAGTTTTGATTGAAAGTTCAGTGTTGCTGAAGACGGAGATTTAATGATTGAATTGGAAGGATTTGGATACATTAAGGCTGAAGTTAAGACACACTCATGCGATTAGAAGCTTGGAAATGGGTGTCACCGATGCAGTGAAGTGACTGCAATCAACAAACACCAGAAGTAAATGCAACTCATTTACGAAGGATAGGTATATGTTCTTGAATATCAGTCACACTTCTTGTATATGGGCTATTGATACAACCCGGTAGAATCTGTTAAACGAAAGACAAGTTTGTCTTCCGTTAGGCCATAGCTAAAGGAAATTAATTTATTTATACGAACACAGAAATATTGGTACAAAAGGCACCGAATACATATGCTCCACACAAGTCGCTTGATTTGTGTGTGGGCTGTTATACTGCCTGGTTACTTAGGCCGAAGCAGGTGGTTCTATTACGGGGCCACACCCGGAAGAGCTCCCATATCCACCAAGCCGGTTAAAGCGGCGGACATTAACTTTTCTTCCTCTCAATTTCGTAAACAACACCCCTGGTACGAGAAGGCAGTGAGTAGGACTTCCGTAGTAATGGCTGTATACGCGTGGTCATGTGAGAAGATTTGTAGAGGGGGAGCTGACTCTCCACTCTCGGCTATACCAGGGCATTTGGGGGCAGGTAAAGGAAAAGAGTGATGAAAACTCATTTCCAGGACTGACAAAATATGAGGATTGCCGCAGCCGATCGCTTTCTTTGATTACAAATTTCGTTTGTCTCACGGACGTCATGTCCCGTTCTTGTAATTCATCAAATAACACATCAACGGACTATATCGTAAACTGGTTCAATGTGGTTGTTTTAGAATCCCGAAATGTTAGTGTGATTCCATTTTCATCACTCAGAAGTTCCTGTAGGTAGTGGCTCAAAACGACTAAAGCATTAAAATAGTTTAAATCAACTCAGGTCCACAGGATCAGTATTTCTAGCTAAGGCCCAGTATCTACCTTACTCAATGGTCTCACTAAAAAGAATCAGTGGCAATTTTTAGAATACCTGTAAAAGTAACACCGATTACTTCGCTTACTTCATAATACGATCACAAACATTGGGGCGAGATATACAGTAATGCTACATATTTTTCAGGTCCTAATTTTGGTGTTTTTAACCTTGGCAGGAAGTAAATCACTGATCCCTTCTTCCCTGTGGTAGTTTTGCTAAATACTGGTTTGTCTCAATACGTGACTAAGAAATTTACTCTGTCGGACGATTGATGACAGTCATAAACGAATAAGCTATCAAGCCGTTCTCAAACTGCTTAAGCATGTTTCATTGCGAAGTAAATTATGATGGGTTTCTCTTTTCAGTTGGTACTGACCTAGACATAGCCGTACAAAACCGCCCTTCGATTAACAGAATGAATTATCAGCGTTATATTTAACGCTACATAAAGACATACTTTCAGTCTGGAAGCTATATTATACTTCAATGTGACAAAATAAGTATGGATAAGTGAAATGTCGAGTTGTCCTCGTTCGAATGTAATAAATGATTTTCATTACCAAACCTTACTACTTACGCCTGTTAATCCCAATGGAACATAGGCCGCCTACCAGCATTCTCCAACCCACTCTGTCCTGGGCCTCCCTTTCTAGTTCTATCAATTTTTGTTCATTTTTCTCAGATCTGTCTCCATTTCTCGACGTAATGTTCTTCAAATTAAACGTTATTATTTGTGATTAAAAGTTGACATAAATACCGATTGGTGGATATTGGCAAGAAATGATGTTAAAAAAGCTGCTCTATGAAAATATTTTAGTGGTGTTTTCTACTGACGATGGTAAACGATCTACGATTAGTTATAACGGCGGCTTGTCGATGGATCCTGTGGTTATTGAGAAAGGAACTGTCTTACGATGATTTCAACAACTCAAACCAGTTCATGGGTCTTAACAATATTCATCTTAGGATTATGAAAGCCCTATCGGATTTAATTGCTAAACCTCTGACAATGTAAAGACGCAATAATCAGTCCAGTCTACTAACTGGGGAGTAAAGACTTAGTAACTATCGTCCTGTTAGTCTAACCAGTGTAATTGTCAAACTAGTAGAAAATATAGTTCGGATGGCTATTTTATACTGTATGGTAGGGAATAATCTTTTATCCAGGGAACAACATAGTTTTAGGACTGTCATGTCATGCTTGACAAATCTGCTCATTGCGAGAGAAAATCGGACTACAGCGAAAGATAGAGGTATTCCGGTAGATTTAATTCCCAGAGATCTAAGTTAAGCCTTCGACAATGTCTCTTCCCTGGGTCGTAAATTGAAAATGGAAAGTTTTGGGACCCATTATAAAATCATAAACTGGGTAAGTGATTTTCTCAATTATAGGAGATGAGTAAATGGGGCTTTATTAACGTGGGGGATCTTTAAAAAGTGGAGTAACCCAAGGTATAGTCCTCGGTCCTGTTTTTTTACTTCGCGTAATTGACTAACTGAATGTAGCGGAGTCATCTGTTCTACTCTTTGCAGATGACGTAAATATTTGGAGACCCATACACACTATGTCAGGTGGAATAATAATTCACTCATTGAATGGATGTATTGATGGTCATTAGTATTTAACTCTAACAAGGGTGCGATGATGCAAATCAATAATTGCAACCATTCATAACACTACAAGTTATGGTTCGTGTTACATAAAGATTTAGGAGTCTTAATAAGCAGCGACCTCAAAACTATATGTGATCGCAAGGCTGTCGCCCAAAAGGTTTCAGTGTCTTATCGACTATTCGTAAGTTATTTCATTACTTGGATGAAATAATGTCTAAGCTGTTATACCCGACTTTTGTAAGGCTGCGTCTGGAACGTGGGAGTTAAGCAGCAATTTCTTGCTTTAATTATGAAGCGGAACGAACGAGTTCCACGGTGAAGGACCGAAATGGTAGAGTCTCTCTGGCTTATCTTACGAAGACAGACTGAGACACCTCAACCTATTCCCGTTATCTTACCCACAGGTTACGGAGTGATCTGATACTGAACGATGGTCTTGGTATGAATATGTCTTATCTTTTTCTTCCATTCAGGAATGATCATCTGAGAGGACGTTCTAAGGGAGTCCACAAACGGAAATCGGATTGTGTATGCCTGGGGTTTCGTTTCTCGCACTGAGTAGTGAACTACTGGGATTCTCCACCAGAACACGTAATATCAACACCATCTGTTGATACATTCAAAATGGGGCTGAATCCATGCAGTAATACAAATTACAGGGATTAATATAAGTCGATTGATCTTCTATTTTTACTACTGAAGACTAAGCGTGTGTTAGTCAATTAGTGCATGCCAATCAATATTTGTTTTCTTAAATACCTAAACAGTGCTACAAGAATATGTATATGTAATACAAGAATATATATGCACCACACAATGAAAATGGGATTGTGGAGAGATAGAGAAAGAAAGGTGTGTATAATGCGAAAAAAAACTGTATAGGAATTAGTCTATGAGAATGAAATAATAATCATGGAAGAAGCAGTTCAGTTAAGAAAAATACAACTAGAAATGATCCTTTCATCTAAGGAAACTCCTGTCATTTATATGAAAAAAAGTTCCATCAGGATCTCAACTGGCTTCTATTCTGAGCCATGACTAGTAACTTCCCAAGTTAGTGTCATGTCATCTCTATGATCCCAAACAGGAACATCATGCTGTTAGTAGCTCAAGTAAGTTGAAAGATCCTTCAGCAGTTACCAGAAGGAGCTGCTGCCTCCAACTCGTTAGCACGTTCTGACCACCAGGCTTCTTTTTCCTTTCGTAAATTTCAGACAATTTTATTCAGTAAGAGTCTACCTTTATCATCAGGCTCGCAGCTGCACTGAGTAAACCGATGTGCCTCAATGAGTTGTAAGAATCTTTGCGAAACCCCGTAGTTATAAACGGGACATTTTGCGAAACCGCAAGGGACTTATTCGTCATTTTCACGGCTCCATATAGCTGTAGCCAATAATTATCTATACTTTTTGGTGGGTTGACAGCTAGCCCTGAACCCAGCTCCATTTGATGTTTAATTGCAATATAAGCTCCAACCTACTTGTTGACATTAATCCGTTGATTAATTTGTTGACCACCAAAACGTAAGATAAGACTAGCTAATCGCGATGTGAGCAATCTCAGCCCACGCTTGGGATACAGTGTGATAACGCCATGTAGGTATGACTGCTGTTAGTAAGTGCTAACCAGAAACAGGTCGTAGTCTGCGCACAGTTGCAACAGACAGTCACCGTTATGTAACCTGTAACCAATAGGTCACTACCGGCTACCCAAATGACTCTGCCATGTGCCTCGACGTCCAAACTATGCATTCAAATCGGCTAAAAGCTTTTCAATATCTGTCGAACGCAATTCCTGGGAAAGATCACTTAACTAGTACTAGGATTTCTCTTA